GTTGTTTTGAAGAAGAGCTCTGTCAGCTGAGCACCTCAGTTGGTGTAAGTAGTAGTCAATGCATATGTGTAAACTGATAAATGGCAATTTCAAGAAAAGTTTCACCTTGTCTTCTTTAACTTGACTGTTTATCTCAAACAGTGACCTGGATCTTGATTCTCTGCAAAGTGTAGAGTAGTCAAAGCTGATCTTTTCTAAGGACTTAGTGTACTAATACAGAACATCATCACAGAAATACTTTGTTCTCTGACCCTTGAGTTTGAGGATGAGCTTACATTTGGAGCTGTGTTCAGCAACAACAGTACCTTGATCATCACTTTGTTTTTATTTTTAATTATTTCTTCTTGTTTTCCTTCATCCTGCTCTTGCTTTTTCCGGTCTTATAGTAAGATAAAGATGGTTTTAGTTTTTATAAGGATTTTTGGGTGCAGTATTCCTGTGTTCTGTTTGTCTTCCTTGAGCAGCCTGTGGAGTATTTTTGATGAACACAAAGTCATCTTTTGTTATCTTGTCCAACCCAAACTTAGTTTATCCTTTGTTTTATTTTTCCTGGAAAGAAATATGTAGACAATCAGTAGCTGAGAGTAATTATGAAATACCTAACTTCTTCTTTGTAAGACAAGACATTATCATCTAAAAGGTGAAACTTGCTGGGTTACTGAAGGTATTGAGGTCAAGGTGAGAGTCCATATGTTAATTCAGACTGTTTCCCTATCAGATCCATAGTTCTGTGCAAGACAGGAGTCCATCTACTGATGAGTTAGTCGGAAATGGAAAATTGTATCATGTGCTTTGCCAGCAGTATTTCTGTGCACATGAGGCCAAACCAAATTTCTTCTGCGATCTATGAGCTGGGATTTTGCTTGCTGCAGACTGGATGTGGGCACTGTATGGTTGTTTTGGACCAAACCATTCCAACTTGCACTGAAATCCTTGCAGAAGAATGTGCTTATGTAACAACGTGTCTTTCATTTAAAGACTGCAGCATTCTTAGGAACTGGGGATCCAGCAGAGAAAAAAGCATTTGTGGTAGAATTAGGTGTTGAAGTTTATGGAGTTTTGAATTTAAAAAAAAAACAAAACAAAACAAAAAAAAAAAAACCAAAAAAAAAACCCCACAAAAAACCCCCCAAACCTGAAAAATGTAAAAAGAACAGACTGTGTCTGATTACCAGGCTATAAACCTTAGCATGCATTACATAAACATGGAGGAACATTTTCTAACAGGCTGGTGCTATTGTGTGAAAGTGGATTTGAGCCAAATTCCCAGATTTGAAGCCCCATGAACTTCAGTAGGCCCAGGCCAATCCTTGGCTTAGGTTCATCTCAAAGCATTGCAAGAACAGAACACAAGTTTGAACATTCTCAGTAGAAATTGGAGACCCAAAGGGGAAGGTTTGTGCATAATCCAGTGGCTGTTTGCACACGCAAGGGACACATCAGTGCCAACGTGAACATTTGCCCCTTGATCATCATGAGAATGTTTTTCGAGCATCTTCGAAAAACACCCTGCAGGAAATGTTTCTGGCACATGTTCTCAGTACTTGAATCTGTTATCTCTTTCCTGGTAAGAGCTTTATGTGGCTTCTCTAATTCTACCCGAATAATGAACTTGCCCATTGTCCTCAGCTCCGTGTGCCTGCGTGCCAGCCCTTTCCTGGCACAGCAGCTGACATCAGGTTCCTGGATCACACAGTGGTTTCCTGCTTGGAGAGCAGCTGGTTTATTACAAGTTGAAGCAATGCTGCCTTCTGGATGGGGACTGTAGTGGGGAGATTTCAACAAACTATCAACCATACCCAGACCAGCCAAAGAGATTTATGCACCCATTTTAATCAGCATTTTGCTCATTTGTTTGCTTTCCCTTTCTCAGCAGAGCAAACTCTGGTTTCCTCTGAGTTGTGCAGCTGCTGTAAAGGGCAATAAGACAGCAGTGTCAGTCACTGCAGGGCTCCTGCACTTGCTGCATCGCAGGGTTGTGTCTGGAGCTGGAGAGGGGAAAAGTTTAACATGAAAATGAGCTACATGCAATTAACAGTTTATGGGGAAGCTCGTAAAGGATCCAGCTGGTGGTGGCACTGGGCTGTTACATGGCTCTTCTGAAGAAACTAGAATGAGAAATTTTTAAAAAAACACACACATGCACTGTTCAGTTAACAGAAGTTGTCAGAGAATCCTAGAACATTTCTTATTAATAAGAATATAATTTCCAAGTTCAGCATCACAAGAGCTTTGTGTTTGTCCCATGGAGAAACCTAAATGAGCATTTATATCACTGAGGATGCTGGAACAAGCAGAGATAGGAATACTTTTTAATTCTGTGACAGAGCTATCATCAGGACATACCAGCTGAGCTGCCAGTGTGACTAAGGTGCAGTTTATGCCAGTTTGCTTGATTTAGTCTAATAATCTATAATTCATTATAATTCTGTATATCATTATTTAGCCATGTTTAATCTGTAATTCTTCCTCTTTTTAATACAATTTGATCATAAGATTCTATTAACAGATGAGACACAAACTGCTTGTTCTATTTCAGAATCTGTAGTATATTATTAGAGCTCTACAAGGTTGACATATGCATGCTGGACTATTGAAACAAGCTGCAGAGAGAGCTTTGTCATAGTATCAGTACAGAAAACATTTCTCTGACTCACATACCCCCTGCAGTGATTTTGTAAGTCAGGGCAAAATTTAGAACTCTTATTTGTTATCTGGTACATATTTCAAAGACATTGCCAACAAAAAGCTAAATTTAAAAACTCTGGCTTTTGTTGTTGGGGGTTCCAGACAAAAGGAACATGTGTCAGCAATTTTAGACTTCGTGGCCACGTAATTGTGAAATATCTTTTTTTTCTTTTTTCTTTTTTTCTTTTTTTTTTTTTTTTTTGTTATAGATGCTCTTGGATAACAAAAACAGATAAATTTCTGTTGGCTGTTTGAGTTACATTCACTGTCAGTGCTTTTTGATTAATATTTGGTGTCTCTTCAAGAATTTGCATTGGAATGAAAAAAGAAAGTGCACAGAAGACAACTTTTCTTTTGTTTGCGTGTATGACAAAGTTATTTTGTCCTAAGAGAATGTTGCTTTTATTGGTTTGATTTGACTGGCCTGTTGACATGGTCAGCTTTAGATCCTGCACATATATCCTGTTGTTATGTGCTTTATTGTATAATGCCTTCATTTCTGAATGAGATTGCCTCCAGCCTGATGGTATTTTATTTCTCTAAACTGTCTGATTAGTTGGTGGGATGGAGAAACAGACTGTGACTTTGGCTATAGAAAATGTGACAGGCTGTCCAGTGCAGGAGGGAAGTGTGTTAGACTTCAGATCCATCCTGCATCGTGGGGCCAGCACAGCTGAGCTGGGAAATGTGGTGTGATTTCTTCCCAGCTCACACCTGAATTATAGACCAGGATTAATACATAGCCCAGTGCTTTAAACTGAAGCACCTCTGGGAGTTGTTCCCCAGGCTTGCTGACTTCTTAACCATCTGAGATATACCTTGGAGTTAACACCAAGTGAGGTCTGACCTTCTGTTGGCAGGAGTGGCTTTCCTCCAGAAGGAGTTACCTGGAGTATTCCTTAATACTGAAATACTGCTGCCTAGTTCCTTATCTCAAAAGTATTATGTAGTGATGATGTTCCTATTTGTGGATGGAAGTAAATTTTTAGAGGTAGAGTAATTCTGAACTTAGCGTTTGGCAGTAGGTTTATTTCAGAACTTCATTTTTGGACAGAGACTTTTAGGTTAGTCTGGTCAGGGAGACTTTGACTGTATTCTGCATGTTTTCTTCAGTACAGACAGAATAGGTGCCTTATATTGTGTAAACCTGGCTACTGGTACCACAGTAAAGACTTAGGCTTGTATGGTTTCATTTACTGAGAGATACCCACCTTAAACACGTGGGTTTGTTCATGGCCATGTGTTGTCAGCACTGGTGGCTGTCATCTAAGAGCCTGGCAGCTGTTCCACTGCATTTCTCTGGCCGACTGTCACTTTTGTGGCTGCATCCAGCCTTGAGCATTGTGGATCTGGTCCAGTGAGTCATTTCTAGTCTGTGCTGGGTTTTGTAGTCATCTCTTAGCACTTGAGCTTTAGATGTGAAAATCCCTTCTGTTAGTTCTTTGGAGATAAGCAGAAGGATTCTGTGTGATACTCAAATCCTGAGTCTGAGTAGTGTCTGTAGTAATCAATCTTCTGTTTTAAATGAAAAATTAATCTGTTACCCCCTTCATACCTTTGCATGCATTCTCTCCCTCGTGTCCTCTCTCAAGTTGACTTGGTGGCTGTCATCCCTTTGCCAAGCTGTGCCTGTGGTGTGTAATTCTGAGAGTTGTAGGGAGCAGGGTCTGGCCCTGAACCTTGCACAGGCTTGTGTTGCTGTGTGGTGAATCAGATCATCTCACTGATCTGAAAATAAACTTTAGAAATGCTCTTGACATGTCAGTTTTTTAGCAGCTTTAAAAGGGCTCCAGCACAAAGGCTGTTGTGACAAATCCTCTACCTCATCATTAAGGAGAGAAGTTTGGTCTTTTGTGCATCTCCCCATCCTGACAGCTGTGACTGAGGTGGTGCTGTGGTGAGAGTGTTCTGGGTAGGCACAAGCACAGGGGAAGAGGAGCAGATGTCAGGGGACTGGTAAATGTTGCTTTATCCACAGTTCTTGTAAAGAGTGGAGCAAGCAGATCAAGTCAAAAGCTGTGCCTGCTGTCATTGCCTTGTTTGCCTCCAGGCATTTGACTCTGCCCTGGAAGTTGGTCTTGGGCCAGCTGAGGAAAGAGCCATCACTCCTGTGGCTCAGAGTCAGCTTTGCTGAAATCTTTAGTTAAACCAGCACATAACTGATTCTCCCCTGTGAGACCAGCATCAAGATTTTTTTTTTCCCCTAACTGGGCTAGTGGCATTCAGCTCATTAATTTCTTGTTATCTTAGTTGCTAGTAAATGGAATTAAATTTATGTACTGAACACCAGTTGCTCTCCCTGGCATTTCTAGGACGAATCCTGGACTTGAAGACGGGAACAGTAAAGAAAGAAGGCCAGCAGTCCTCCATGAGAATGTGCATGGGATCCAGGCGCTCCTTCATTTGCAGGATGAGGTATGCATTTACCCTGTGTTCCACCAGGGTTCCAGTCCTGGCTCAGCTTAGACTTAAGACATTTTCTTGCACTAATTTGGCCTTGATGACGAACTAAAGCTGTAATGACACACTGCCATGAAGTATTTCTAGAATACTTTATTTAGGAACTGGAGTGAAACTGAAACTAGTCTTCCTTCAGGACAAAACAGCACCTCATTTCTGTTGTAGTTATTCTTAGGAGTGTGGGGTGTAGGTTCCTTTTTCCAGAGAACTTCATGACAGCTTCACCCCTGGAATTGTAGCCATTCTTTTCTAGTAAAGTTACTCAAATCGATGCCTTGGGAACAAAGCTTTCGCAAGTGTTATGAACACCCAGCTCTGTGTATTTTTTCAGCAAACCAAGAATATTAAAAGAATCTTAAAGATAAACAAGAATTCAGTTGCAAACCTGCCAGCTATGTAGGAATTAGCCTAAGCCTGGTATGAATTAACCAGATGTCAGCTGGCTGATGCTAGATAAATGAGTAATTGTTAGAGGGTTTTTGATTTGCAATTTTCCAACTTCTTCCTGCATTGTTTGGGCTTCTTTAAAGAGATTTGTCTGCCCAGTGCTTTTTTTGGGGGGCTTGTGAGCACTTCTCTTGTTTTAGTGCTAACAGGCTAAAATGCCTGTTGATACTGCAAAAAGATTTTGTCTGTAGTTAGGAGGGGAAAGTACAAAATTCTATCTGTAGGCTCTGTCCAGTATAAATGGTGATAACAGCACTGCAAAATTCATTACAGAATGAAACACACAAAGCGCAGTATTTGACACATTAAACTACAGCTACCTGTACTTTGGTAATGTGGTGGATTTTTCCAGTCCTGTGAGGGTGCTGAATGTATGGCTCTTGGGTGCCTTTGTAAGGTGTTTATAGACTTTATACCTGCAAGATCAGGCTTCAGAGCTATAGAACCTTTTTCTCTTTTACCTGGGAGGGAGGAAATACAGCCCAGCAGAGCAGCACTGAGAACACTGCTTTTCCTTCCTCCCAAGATGCACATCATGTTAGGAGGACTTGTTTGTTCAAAGAAAACCAGGCCTAGTGTCCTGCTTGCAGTTGTTCCCCAGCTTTCAAAACAGTTCACATTGCAGTCATTTCCTAGCACCCTGATGCTGTAAACTCCAGTGCATGAGAGTGACTTTATACACGCCCTCTAACCCCACTGTTTTTGTATTTCTAAATCTTATTTTAGTTGTTCACTTCTTCTCCTTGGCAGTGACTGATAAGAAAAAAAAAATTAAAGGAATAGAAAGAAAACCTTCTGGGAAGAATGGGCCTCAGATAATATGAATTTTCCTTGTGGTTTCTTCTTTCATTGTTGTTATTATTCCATTAAAAATGAACTGCTTTTACCCTTCAAACTATTTACTCAGCTTCAGATGGATTGTTGAAATTTTACAGTTAGGCATACTTACAAATATCACAAAATACACATGAGCAAGTGTTAAATAAAGTTACTTGACAGTGTAAATAGTTTGATCATGCAAACATTATCTTAATGTCTGCAGACATTGTAGCTGGTGTATGGCAGTGGAATTTTTCTGTCCAGGGAAGCTACAGGAACACTGAGATTGGTTTGTGTGGATATTTGGTGGCCTGACATATTTTTCCCTAGTTTTCACCCCTGTTTTGTGGCTTTTTAAAGTGTGTCTACTCTTTAGCCACCCTTGGGATATCAATTTCAAATAGTCTTTATACTGGGGGAGTGTGGAAAGGAATCTTTTTCTAGTCTCTTTCATTTTTCTAAAATAAAGAAGATTTTTATAGCACATCCAAAAATCAGCCTGTGGAAGCAGCATGTTTTACATAAACATGAATATGCAAAATTTTGCCAGGAATAAGTATCCATTATTGTCTGCTTATATATGGTAGTAAGGATCTCAAAATGCATTTTCATCGTGTGTATTCATATTCATATTTTTGAGCCTTTTAAAATATTCATTTACTTTTAGGTGTGGAAATGCTCCTCTGGATCATTTACCTCTGAACAGAATAACCACCATGAGAAAAAGATACAGGTACTATTACTTAATTTACTACAAAGCAGCTGCAGTTGCCCTAAGCCCTCTCATTTAATGCCCATTCCAGGAGTGTTACCTGCACACACTGGATCCTTATGCAAACAAAATCTCTTGCATGTGTCACTCAGATTCTTTGTCTTACACCAACTCCAGCTTTGAATCAATCTTCAATATCTTTCTCAGAGAAATGTTATAGAAAACAGGTACAGCTTGAATGGCAGCATTATAGAGCTGGCAGTACAGAACCCCAGGTTGATTCTCTGGTGTTTCCAGCATAACTTACAAATACTGGTAAACCATTAGTAGCCATAGTTTGAAAACATAAAGCTGTTATGCATGTCAATGTGATGTTTTTGTGTTTCTTGTCCATTCAGGAATGGCCTGGGCCCAGTGAAAGAAGGTGAAGCTCAATATGCTGTTGTCCATTGCACTGGCTATATCAAGGCTTGGCCACCAGCAGGTTTGTATCCCTTATGGAAGACAGTGTGCACCAAACTGTCCTTAGGACAGCTGAAAACCTGGCTCAGGTTTCCTTGCTGCTAGAAAAACAGGAAGAGTTTTAGTGGGGTGGCTGATTAAAGCTTACCTTGAGAAGCTTTTGGTAAGAGAAATCAGCTGTTGTACTCACTCAGGGCATCCCTGTTTTCCCTGTGACACCCTTCTCAATTTCATTGCCACGGAGGACCTGTAGGAATTGCCAGTAATGCAGGATTCCACAAACTGGGGCCAACAGTTTTCAACTTATGTTGATGAACCAATGTAAAAATGGTCTCATTTTGAGAAGGTGGACACAAAGGATTGTGTTCCTCTAGAAAACACCAGTTAATGCTTTTATACTTAAGTGCTGAATTGCAAGCACCTATGTATGAAAATGTGTAATTTCACTTCAGACACATGGAAGTTCTCAGTAATGGTGTTACTTGAGAATGTTCAGTGTTTGTGATCAATTCTGTTTTGAGGCTGTTTTTCTCGGAATCAAGTCTCGGCATACTGCTTTGATCTGTGGAGAAAAACATTTACCTGCTGGATCTCAATATTACATATGGGAGTATTTACCTTTGAAAAATTCCAAGAGGAGACAGTGGAGCTCATCCAGACCTCATGATGAGTGGGGTTACCTGACCTTGGCATTTGCAGGAGTTGAAGAGGTTGTTTGTGATGTGACAGCGCCTGCTGGCATGAATCAAAGAATCAAACCAGGAGCTGTCCTGCCCTTTTGTGGTTGTACACCACGGCCATAAATCACATTGATCCAGGGATTATGAGTCCTAAGAGGTGGTTTGTACCAAATGTGTGCAGACAGCAGCGTGCAGATGTGAACTTCTTGTTGGTTTTTTGCTGAAGTGCGGTTTTGGAAGCAGAGGAAAACTGCCCCTCTTATTGCTAATAGGATTTAATAGGAATCAAGATGTTCCAATTTTGCTTCTGTCTCAAAAGTATGAGAGCACAGTGTCTGTAGAGTGCTCTGAAAATTGATGTTTTTTCTGTTTTGTTTTCTTCTACAAAAAGATTTACTTTTATATTGGATATTCTAAATGCAATTGAATTCATCCTTGATCTATGGGGTGTCTCCTCAAGAAGGTGTAGGTCAAATAAGATTTTGCTTAACCTGGAGGAGAATCTTGCTTCATGTTGTGGGATGTTTAAAGACATGTGACTCTTCAGGGGTGTATGTTGCTGATACAGAACTACAGATGCATGAACTCATGTCAGCACTAGGTCCTGATGTTGGCAGTGTGTGCCCTTCAAGCCACCAATTCTGCAGGACAGCTTGGGATTAAAGGGGTCTTCTGGGTCTTTGAGTGCCCACTGGCCAGGTATCAAATCCCAGCTGGCATTACTGAGGTCTTTTCCCCATCTCAACTCTTCCAAAACCTTGCTGCTTATTACTTCATGAGAAGTTTTTATTTCAATAAGGTCAAATGGGAGTTTTCATGCCTAGTGCCTCTGTGTCTCTCCAGTGTTCTGCTGTGTTTCCAAGAGAGGTTATATCCTGTCAGCCTGGGCTTTGCAAAGACAATTCAGGCCACTTCTACTTTCCATTCTCAGAATGCATTCTCTTTACCCTTGTGACTTTTCTCTGCAATTGTTTGTATTTTCACTTCTCAAAATGTAGGTCACTGGCACTACACATTCTTATTTCAGATGAGATTGTAGTGATAGATAACACAAACAATATTTTCTGTCTTGCCTGGCAGTGTAGGATGCAGCATCCTTCTCTTTTGTGTGGTGCATCCTGCAGGCCTCCTAAGACATCTGATATAAATTTATATGTCTTCCAGGTTGCCATTTTCTCACTTGTCAGCTGCAAATCTTGCTTTGAATTTTGTGATGTTTCAATTAGTAATATCAAGTTCCATCCTATTTCTGTTGCTTTAGCTTATGACTGTTACTGTTCCCCAAGTGCATGCTTATGCATTTAGTAATGTTGGATTTCATCCCATTTCTATTACTCCACTCCTCAAAATCACATGGTGCTCCTTATGATATCCCAGTGCTCCTCCACAATGTTAATTCCTCCAAACTATAGCACAATCCTAAGGGATGTTTTAGATTTTGACAGCCTTATGTGGAATTTCATTGGTCTTCTGTGTTACCATCCAAATTGTTACTTCTATTAGTCATGTCTGGGTGCCTTTTCCAGGGCACACAGAATTGAATCAGGGCCTTTTTCATGACTGTTTATTTGCCTTTCCAGTCTTCCCCACTTTGTGTTGATGATTGTCATGTATCCATTGACTTTCAGAGTTGATGGGAATATCCATGGGCTGAATTGTTCCCCTATATGTTTGAGTAAATAAGTGACAACATCACTCCATTTGTTTTTATTTCCAGTAGTAATCCAACTTTGCAATAATCTGCAAAGCAAATGCGATAACTACATCAGTAATGGAATTTGCCAAGGCTTCTCTACCCTGTAATAAAATTACTTTGTTGAAATCAGCAAGCCCTGTATGGTCTCTGGATTCTTGGGAATAAATGGGCTTGTGCTAAATCACAGCTGTTTAAAAATTCAGTGATCAAAAAGATAATTTTCATTTATTTTTCAGTTGCCAAGTGGACGCTGGTATAAACTCCAGATCCTTTTCTTTCAAAGGATGTGAATTATATTGCTAATATACAATATGAAGTGTACTTTCACAAGCAAAAGAACCAGTATTAACAAATGCCTTTAATCTGTGTTCAGTCTCAATTGTTTAGCACTTGGTATTTTCTCTTTCTGGCTTGAATTGCATTGTCTGTGGCCAGTGTTCAGGTTTTTAGTCCCATTCTGAATAAATCAGTGTTGATACAGAAGCATCAAGAGAACCGCTTTGTGATCATTACTGGTGTGATAGACTATTTGACAGTGCTGCTGCAGGGAGGAGTCTGTGCAGATCTGAGTAATGTGAGTACTTCAAACAGGTGAAAGTGAATAAGCTACAGACAGCTGGTGGTGTATTTTAAGGACTGGATTTGTTGTGTTATGGCTCAGGTCTGTGTTCAGCATGAAGGCACTGGCTCATCCAGCCTGCCTTTGTGGTTTTTCTCACTTTTGTGGAGCAGCAAGGCTCATGTACTGGCAGACTGTCATCAGCCCCTTCTTCACTGAGAAAGGGGAGAGGAAACAGGGGAAGCATCCTGCCTCAGCCTCCATTCAGGCTGTGTGTTAATGATCTCTTCATTTTTCTCCATTGCACCTAAAAGACAGGTAAAATTAAGATCAAGTGTAAAACCAGGCATACCTACACACTTCTGTCCCCATGGGTTATATGCTGGCCTCAATTAATCAGGTGTAAACTTGGTGTGGAAGTCAAAGGAAAAAGCAGTCAGATTCTTCTGGATGTTCCAGCAGTCATGGTGTATGTTTGGTTAAATAATGAGAGTGTGGTGTGGGGTTATTTTCAATGAGGTAAAAGGACCCCTTGTTTGAAGCTGACTGAGCAGCAATCCCAGCCTTTGTCCCTCTGTTCCCAGCAAAGCAGCTCAGATGGAACTTGTGATCTTCAGCCTAGACAGTGCTTCAAGTTCATAGCCAGTCATAAAACTGAGAAGTGCTGACCTTCTCCTGGGTTTTTTTTTCCTGTTTTCAACTTAAGCAAGATTTGATTTTCTTCTGTTTTTTTTCCCATCTGAATACTTCATTCCTGGAAGGAAATGAGTCTTCTGTGGTCCATATGATATTTTCCTAATAGGTTTGTTTTGCTTTCTTTTCGTGGCATAAGATTTGGTGGAGAGAGAAGATAAAGTCTGTCAGGATGTTGGTAGTTTTCTGTAAATCAAAGCCAGGATCTGCACAAAAGCACAGAGTGAAGCAAAGAGCTCGATACATGTTTTGAAATTCGAATAAAGAGTCAGAATAATGTTAAATTCAGATAATGTTGAAATCTCTTTTTTCTCTTTAGTTAAAAAAGAAACATTTTAATCTTCCAAGTCAGACTTACGGTAACATCTTAACCACAGCATGCCAAAGCTGTTAGGTTATTTTAAAGTTTTGGCCAGAATCTGGACATTTGTGCAAAGTACTCCCTCTTCCAATACAAAACAAAATAGTTGCTTGAATATTCCTTGCAGTTCTGTCATTTTTAAGGCTTTATTTATTTTTTTGAAGAGTGGTTAATTTAGTTTTTATTGGGATTTTTCATGCGACTTTTATCCTTAGTATGCTATCCACAGCCTTTTTTGTGAAAGCCTTTTTGCATTGTTTTCTATGAGAGATAAAGTCACACAGTGTAGTTTCTTCCCAGGCAAGTAACTAACAAGAAGTTCATCTAATGGAGACAGGCATTATCAGGGGATTGCTGGTGACCACTGGACACTTAAATTCCATCTTTTTAAAGAACTGTAAATAATTTATTTTTTAGTGTAGTGAAATAAAACCATAAATCCACCAGCACTGTTCTGTGTCTCACAGAAGATGTGGGGCAGAAGGGTAGAGAAAGAAAGCAGAAGATGCTTTTCTGTTGTTAGAGCTGCCTGGAAGCTCATTAGGAAAACTAAAAATTTCCTTACATCCACACCAACACATGCTGTTGCCCTGTGGGAAACTCTTTGCTGGTATAGAAGACACTTGGAAATTAAATATAACCTCTGATGGCACAGCATTCTATTTGTGATGCTCACTTGCAGCTTAGCTGTGCCAGTTGTTGATGTGAACTCAGGCAAGCACAGCACAATATTTATTATTTGAGAGGGATGTATATTTGGTGTTGAGAAATAAACCCTCTCCCAGGGTTACACATAAAGAATGTGAATAACTGAAGGATGTTTATTTTGTTGTTGCCCCCTAAAGGTCATTTTCGTGGCTGATTTCCTTCAAGCTCTTACAACTTTTTTTAGCAATAATGATGGTACTTGGTGATGTTAAGGAGCACTATTGCATTGTCTTAAGAGCTGGAAAAACTGGTAGAAAGTACAGTGCACATCTTCATTTACCTGTCCATACTGGAGTGTGTTCAATAGGAAGTGTGCTAAAGCAAAAGTAAATCTCATCTACAAATGCACCCTCCCATATAAAGACACCCAGAGTTGAATCTTTGGAAATATCAGCTGAAGAATAAAGAAAATAATTTCTCACTGTGGAATGCTGCCAGTAATATCACCTACATTGCAGAGAAGCTGAAAATCTTTTTGTCATATTTTTTCACTAGGCACTTTGGGAAGGGGTTAACAATCCACTGGGTCATGTATTGATTAATTGCAGGCAGATTGGTTTTTATTCATAGAGTGTGGCATAACCCAACTAAGATATTTTCCATTTTGCTATACAGACAAAATGTAATCCATCTTGGGCAAAAGGGGAAAAAAAAGACAAAAATTAGAACAACAGCCTCCCTTTGTCAACAAAGTGACATCAGAAATAATGTTGCTTAGCTAGGTTTAATTTTGGAGGCTGTTTATGTTACTTTGATTTTATTTGACCAGTAACAAGCATGGACCAAGTTCCTAAAAAGGAAATCACTGTTGAAAGCTACAGAGAAAAAAAGATTATGCAAAGTGGAAGCTGTCCAGCTGTATCTTTGCTGTCCTTTGCAATACTCTGTGCCACTAAGGAAATGATTGGAGAAAGCTTTTGAGGTCAAGGGAATATACTTTAAATGTGTCCTTCTCAAATGGAAAACTCCATTTGAAAGGGATCTTTTGGTTAAGGTTATCCAACTGGAATGCTTAGAGTTATGTCCTTAAAACGTAACTCAACACTTGTTAGATAATAATGCTTCTCCTTTGTAAAGCTCCCCTTGATAAAATTCTAGTTATCAGTAGGGGGCTGCAAATAATGTTTTGTGCACCCCAGATTGTGAAGTGACTGCAGAACAAGTTTCAATATATTGTACAAAAAGATGGGGGGAGGGTTCCTTCATACGTGGTGTATTTTGTTTTATTGTATAGTTCAGTGTATAGTCAGAAGACCAAAAAATACCTGTAAAATGCTGTTTGAAAGCTGATGGTCAGATAATATTCAACTGTTTTGATACAAAATAACATCCTTAGAGATGACTCCATTCACCAACATTTTTAGTCATTTTTCAGAGATGTCATTTACGAAAGTGGTGTGTTGTCATCCTGTGGACTGTCCAAAGATTGTCTTACACTGGGGATTATAAATGTAAAAAATAAAGTGGCTGTTGTTTCAGAAATGGTAGCTGCTTTGCAATTAATTTTGTTAATGCTTTGAAGTGCCTCTTAAATGATTCACTGCCTGTTATGACTGAATTCCTTGAAAATCCTTGTGAAAGAGTTTACAGATCACTTAAAATAGGTCAGTGGTGTCACTCCTGGAAGACGTTTTTCCAAGTGTTTTATACGAACTTGGTATCTCAGTACTGGAGTTGGGAAATAGCCTTAGCTCAAAGCTTAGCCAACAAGCAAGAAAACAGTGCTAATCTGAATGTTCCTATTTGTGAAACACTGAGATGGAAAATAGTACACATGTATATTTTGAAGCTGTTCCTGTGTTTATAGTAGTCACTCCTGTTACACAGCTGGAACGAGCAGTGTTAGCAAAGCATCCGCATTTTTTTCAGTCTTTCAATGTAACAACGCAAGTTTAGTCCATTGTAGAAAAAAGTAAAACCAGCTGTTCAATATGAGCACAGAATTAGTGATTAATTTAGGCTGGGGCTTGTTTTTAAGGCTCATTATAAAATATTATTTACAAAGAAAACTGAACATAGCGTGCATTCACTGACCGTGTTAAGTGACCCCATTGTTCCATAACGTGCTGGTGGAGCAGCACTCGTGGGAATGTTATTGTCCATCTTGGTGTATAATGAAATTTTAGTATCTGCTTTGTCTTCAGCAGCCAAAATTGCTGCTGTGAGTACTGTGTATACATGTGAGGTATATAGGATTGAGCACAACTGAGAAGCATCATCTGATCTGAACCCAGAAATAATGACTGAATCTTAGAGAAGAAAATTAGGTTATTTTGTAAGATTTAGAGCATCTAGAAAAGTATAGAGCTAGGACAACAGCATCTCTGTTTATCCCAATTTCCTAATTATAACAGTATTTATTATTGCTTACTCCAGGAATGACTATACCAGAAGAAGATGCTGATGTGGGACAAGGTAGTAAATACTGCCTCGTGGCAATAGGAAGGCTTCAGGTAATGCCAGTCTTTCCATATACAAACTATTTCTGAGAGCATGATCATTGTTCTGGTGTGGTTCTAAAAGAATTGCACACTGTTTTGCTACTAGACTGTAACTTTTTACATGCCTCCAGGGTGTGTAGGGCTGGGGTGTTGGAGGTAGTGAGAAACGTGGCAGTGCAGGTGCTGCAGGTGGTGGGTTAACGTGACCCCCAGAGCCAGTGATACACTCCCTGCCATTTTTCCAGTCATTCACTCTCTGACTAATCAACTACTTGAAAAACTGTGATTGCAGGAGTTATTCTGAAAATGGTAAAGATAGAGTAGTCAAGAGGCACTTCAGAAATCATAGCTTTATTCTCAGCATGTATTGTGTTATGCATTCAGATGAGATGTGAGTTGAAGGAACTGGAGAAAAACATTATCCTTCCTTTTTTGTGCAGAGGGTTGCAATTGTTGTAGTGCATTTCCTCCTTTGTGCATTGCTGAGCAATGAGTTCAGAGCTGTGAGCTAAAGCAGCCGTGGTGAATCTCCTTCCCCACAGCAGGGAGGACAGTTTTTATCTTCCTGGTCTGGGAATTCTGCCATGGGTGAACATGTTTGAGCCTCTTGCTTGATCCCCTGCACTTGCTGCCATCTGCTAGGAGGAGATCACTCCTCCTGACAAGGTGGAATGACCCTTGCACAGGGGCCAGACCCATCTTACCCGAGGTGAGCAGCCTGCAGGTGTTAGCACATCTGCAGAGTGGCTCTGCATGGCCATGGCAGAGCTGCACAAGTACTGCAGGATGAGTTGCAGGTTAATCATGCTTTCATAATCAAGAGTAATATATTCCACTAATGGAAAGGAGGAAGTTATGGGTGTTCATGTGTTACAACTTCCAAAGAAAAATTATTTCCAAGTAATGTCAAAATGTCTGTTACATTAGAGGAGCCATTGTGGTATGTGCGGGCGGGCAGGAGGAAGCTCTGTGGTGGGTTAAATCAGAAAGGAGTCAGGGTGCACAAATTAAAAACTCTTGTTCTCTAACAGCAAGTTGAAACCTTGCAGATGGTTAACTGTCTGATCAGCTCTGAATTAGCAAAAAAATAAGATTTTACTCATTTTGCATTGTTAGCAGAGATAGCTCTGGAAGTTGTAAAAAAATCAGTGGTCTCCTTTGTACCTCCAGTGGGAAATAATGGATATGAAGTGGCCTGATAGCACAGATTTCAGGCAGAGAGCTGAAAACACACAGTTCTCACACAATCTTCCGGTGAGATTTGAGAATATTTAGAGAGCTGTGTTTTTCATTACAAGCAGCCACTTGCTGGTCTGATATCCCCTACCTCAGCCTCTGGAGAATGTGGTTCAGGTCCTGTAGCTGTTTCAGGTGAGGTTCATGTTACCTGAAACAGGAGTGTTTAGTCTGAGCAGTTCTGTTGATTAGATAATGGGTTGGTTTCATATCCTAAGACGGGTGGACTGCATTGTCCTCTGCAAGTCATTCATTCATGGTTGACAGAGATAGGAACCACAATGCCTGATGCTGGACTTTCATCCTCAGTAAATCCCCCCTTCCTGGGAACTTCTGCTGTGTTTGTTTCTCTGCTGTGCTGTTAATCCTCACTAGATGCCATGGGGTGAGATACTTACCCTGCAAACTGGCCTAAAGGCCGTTTTCCCATTTATCTGTGCTGTTGTTTCATTTTACTTCCTTCAGCTGCTAGCAGTCTGCCAGCAGATTCTGTCCTTTAGCTGTGGGTCAGCCGTGGCTTTGGGTGACTGCTGTGGCTCTCTTGGCCCTAGGTGACCAGCTCTCCCGTGTGCATGGACATGAACGGCATGTCGGTGCCCACGGAGTTCCTGTCCCGCCACAACTCGGATGGAGTCATCACCTTTGTGGACCCAAGGTGCATCAGCGTCATTGGCTACCAGCCCCAGGTCTGTGGCCACTGGGAATGTGGAGAGTGGGTGCAGCTAATGCCGAAAATGCCATTGCAAACATGAGGAACTTGTAGCTGATAATTCATACATCAGGCACTGAATGCTGCTCGTTTTTCTTTGCTGTCCACGCCTCGGTGTGGGGTATCTGTTTAGATCTGATTAAAATTCGAACAGCGGAGTGCTCTGAACCTTGCACAGCTTTCCAATGAAGACATTTCTGTGATAGGAAGTTAACAGTGCTTGGAGAGAGTTTTAGTCCTGTAGACCTTTGATTCTGCCAATCTCTTGAACAGTAAGCAAACATAATTTACAGCATCTATTTTCCTTTAGGCTTACATCTGCTCCTCTGAACAGCAGGCTAGTACAGAACTGAGTAGAATAGTAAATGAGCCACAGCTATCCCTCAGATAACTCCCAGCAGTTGCAATTTAGAGGCAAAAGTAGTTCCTTGTTCATTTGCTTATTCATATTTTTTTTTAATTTTAAGTTTATAATAATAAACTTTATAATAAGTGTTTTTACAAAGATTAGTGCCATAAAATGAGCTGTAGTAGCAGATGTCAGTCTTCTCAAGACATCATTTCACAGGTATTAGAAAATAACTTAAACTCTTTTGTAAAAACATGGGGCATGGTGTCTACAAACCTTGTTTGTGTGGTTCATCCCTGATTAACTGAGTAGTCCCATTAAGTTTGGTAGAGCTTGTGTTTGCAAGAATTACTTGCAGGTCTGCATATGCATTTTGTGTTGTGGCTTGGGTTTTTTACATAGCTTTATGTTTTGTTCTAGGATCTTCTGGGGAAAGATATTTTAGAGTTCTGCCATCCTGAAGACCAAAGCCATTTGCGAGAGAGTTTCCAACAGGTGCTGTGTCCTGCTCCTTTTGTTCCACACTTTATTATTTTGTCCACAGAAGTAGTTTTTATCTTACTTTATTTTTATGCAAGAGAAGAAGTGGCAAGATACAAAACAATTTGTTGGTCAGTTATCAGTTGGTTAACCTGCATGATAAATGGTGGCTTAAACTGCAGCGTGGGTAGACAGTATTTTCATAAATAAGTTCTAGTTATATATCTGGTTTTTTGCTGCACAGAGTGAACTGTTTTGGAGATGCCTGTATTGATCCCCCTATGTTAAGTGGTAACCAAAATGATTTACCTTCCAAAATGGGCTGTTGGTTGGGAAGTAGTTACATCCCTCTGTGATGCTGGATTGTTTGTAACTGAGTTCTCTGCTAGCATAGATGATTTGCTTCTTCATGTACTTTAATGGCATTACACCACTTTACATCAACATGTAATTTGGCTTTTTCTCTGTTAGAAATTGAAAAGTGTACAGGGAAGTAACAAAAGAAATGCAACATGCGGGAAGAGTTACTGGTTTGGATTAAATGTTACCGTGGGCCACATTTACATCAGCTGAATCAATGACATTTATTCCTTTGCAGAGCTTGCTGTTTCATGCATTAGCAGGGCTTTCCCTGAGCTGTCTCCTTATTGCTGGTCTTTTCAGTACCTTTCCTGCTGCACCAGAACACCCAGAACAGGATGTTTAACTATTGCTGAGGCTCAGTTGATCTAAGTGGTTCCAGATTTTCTAGCAACAGCCAATAGCTCAACTGAGTTGTGTTGATGCATCTTGTGTTGGATGCTGAGATGTATTTTCAGCTGTGAAATGTGGATATGAAGTGACTTCTAAGTAATTTGTATAGCCAACTGTTTGTTCAGGCATGGCATGCACAGACAGAGCCTCTGGGGGAAAAACAACTAAATGCTGTGTCCCTAGAACAGATTGTGACACTGAGGTTATGGTCTCTGCAGAAGTGTTGGAGATGGTGTAAGATATCTGTCCTCCTGAGCTGTTTCTCACCATCCCCCTTCAACAGGGACTATCAGCCCATGGCCAAGTGTGCCTCCAGTTCCCTTGCACAGATTGAGTGCAAACAGCAGCCTTTTTAAATTCAAGATGTTGGTTCACAGGCTGTGAGAGTTCAATGCTTTAAACCGGTCACCACACCCAGAACGTCTCCTCTGCCCCAGCTTGGCTGGGGGTGTGATGCTGCAGCTGGATCCTCCTGACAGGGGTCTGTCACCAGGAGTCAGCTCTTCTCTCCTGCTTGCCTCTTCCCCACCTTCCTGCTGCCTTGGTGCTGGCATGGATGGCCTTGCTGGGAGGGCTGAGGCCCTAATTCCTTCTGCTTGGAACTTCCAGCTTTGGGCTGGTTCAGCTCCCTGAACTGCTGCCTGATGGCACCAGTGGCACCAGAGCAGTGAGAACACATATGCTGTTTTTCAGTGGTGCCCAAATGATTGATTCCACTCATCTGTCCAAGGGACAGTGACAGAGAGCTGCTGGATAATGGCCTGTCAAACATCCTCTGCAGGGAATCCATCCAGTGATTGCCTGGGTCTCAGCAGGGCTGGCTAACATTGCAGTTAATGATTTGGTCCTCCCCATGTTCCCTGGGAGGGAGATCAGGCTGTGGCAGGCTGCCAGTGTGTCCCTGAGCTCTGCTGCTGGGGACTCCACTGTTACCACTCACTGCTAGGCATGTGCACAAGTGATTTGCTGGATCAGGGGCCTACATGGTTTGCTTGAGGTCATGAAGAAAGACAGCAGGAAAAAATACAATTAGAAGTGAAAGTTCTTGCTCACTCAATCTATGTCCAATCTATGAAAAAATGTGTTGTTTCCTTAGCAGGCAATGCCTTCTTGGGTGTATTTTTGTTCAGTACAGTAGCAGTGTGATTGGGGCTGTTATTCCCATCATGCAGTGAAAGACTGAAGTAAACAGTTCAGCTTTCCACCAGGTGGTTTTTATTTCTGAAGAATATAAGAAAGTAAAGTTTAATCATTAGCTTTGAAATTCTTTATGCTTGTTTGTTTGTGTGCTCTGTCTTAAGACAGTTCAGGATTTTCCCACAGCAATCTCTCTGCTTTATATATTATTGCAGAATTACTGTTTGCTTAATCAGGGTTTCAGGGTAATAGATCGTTGTTTGTTTTATTAGTTAGTTTGGACTTAGAAATCTCTTAATTAAAAAGGTAACTGTGATTTCAAATAAACTCTTTTCTTTTCTTCCTAAAACCTGAAAACTTGACACTTCTTATTTGCTGACAGTATCACAACCAGGCTAGTGCATAACAGAGGAGGGAGGGAGGGAGGGTGGGTTTTGCAATTTTTGGTCAGCTGCCAGTATCTATCTCAGAGCTTTATTTCCTTGGGAAGATAAATTCATTCATCAGGGTGGGAAAAATCAGGCCAGAATAAGATAGTCTCAAGGCTAAGACAAACAAATACAGGTTAATATCAAAGAGTCCAGTCTACAGCTGTTGGATACCCAGTAGAATACTATTCAGATTGAACACTCTACACCAGCTCTGTGGTTGCTGCCCTGGGTGTGGTAGTAGAAAATTGCTGATAAAAGAATGTTGCTCAGTGAGCTCAGAAAAACCCTGTAAAAGCATTAAAAAACCCCCAAGAAAACCAACCAAAAGTCATTTACTTCCTTAGGATTTTGAACTTTCCTGGGCTTTACTAAAGCTTGTGTCTTCTATTTGCATTATCTTCTGTTTGCATTCTTTCCATTTAGTCCCATATCCAGTTGATTAATTTGAAGTGCAAACCTCTGAAAAAAGCAGGATTGGAACATTTTTCTTAGTCTAATTGCTTGTCAATGAAGACAGAGGGTAAATAGTGGAACTTCTAGTTTTAGAGAATACAGGCTGCAGATGGCTAATAAAAAGTAAATTCCAGATGTTAATGATTAAGAATCCACAAGATGTGGCATTTATTTGCAGTAGACCTTCCCTTTCCTTCCTTGAGGCATCCCTGAGCTAGCCTGGTGGAAAAGCTGTAAAATATAAACAGAGATAGGCCAGGTAAGTGCCAGCTGAACCATGAAAGTTTTCTTCTGGCTTAACCCCAGATTGTTGGATAACACGTGAAATGCAGTTGCAGGGCCAATGTGAGAAAATTGCTTTGAATGTACTTTATTTGGCTGCTTCTTAATCCTCACTTGGTGCCCAACTGTTGACTTGAACAAAACTTCAGTTACCAAACCCAGACATCTGAATTCTTAGCTGGAAACACATAGCCTGTGCAAGCAGGGAATTTATTCTGTGAAAATGGACAGTGGCTTATCAGTGTTCTCTCCATTCAAACACTGGCTCACTCTTTTAAGCCAGAAGCAAGTGATTCTTGTTAGCAATTTGCCATCCTAGAGAGTCTTTTAATATGTTTGGGGTGGGGGGGAACCAACCCCTGGTGGTTTCTAGAAAAACAAAAAATGAACACCACTGTGTTTAAGCATTGTCCTAATTTTGCTGCTGATTTATCACACATATTAATTGTATTGCTGGGTATCCAAGCAGAAAAGCAGTCAACCTCAAAATGGCTTTTTTTGTGGGCTTTTGTTTAGCTGCAGTGATTGGTTTATGGTTTACAGATACACATTTAAAAGATCCTCAGTTTGGTTTCTGTCAATCTTTTGATAAGTGTTTTGCATTAAAACATTCTTAAAGTTCCTGTGTTGGGATAACAGCACAACCTGATGATTGTCCTGAATCTGTATTCTTTTTATAAGCAGGCTAGAAATTGGCATTTTATATGACAAAGCATGAGGATTTGCCATCCTAGAGAGTCTTTTAATATGTTTGGGGTGGGGAGGAACCAGCCCCTGGTGGTTTCTAGAAAAACAAAAAATGAACACCACTGTGTTTAAGCATTGTCCTAATTTTGCTGCTGATTTATCACACATATTAATTGTATTGCTGGGTATCCAAGCAGAAAAGCAGTCAACCTCAAAATGGCTTTTTTTGTGGGCTTTTGTTTAGCTGCAGTGATTGGTTTATGGTTTACAGATACACATTTAAAAGATCCTCAGTTTGGTTTCTGTCAATCTCTTTATAAGTGTTTTGCATTAAAACATTCTTGAAGTTCCTGTGTTCCTGTATCACAACCTGATGATTGTCCTGAGCCTGTATTCTTTTTCTAAGAAGGCTGGAAATTGGCACTTTATATGACAAAGCATGAGAATTTCATCCTGAAGGAGATAGCTGTAAACATGGATAGGATTTTGTGTATTCTCTCCAAATACAAAATTTCTCTGCTGTCCCTGTAGCTTTCTGTAATTCAAGTTTAAAATGCACCAGTTGCTGCTGTTGACTATTCATTTGCACAGCAGATAGCAATCTCCTGTTATTAACCTTTTCAAATGGCTTTGCAGGTGGTGAAACTGAAAGGTCAAGTCCTGTCTGTGATGTATCGGTTTCGCACCAAAAACCGGGAGTGGATGCTGATCAGAACCAGCAGCTTCACCTTTCAGAACCCTTATTCTGATGAGATTGAATACATCATCTGCACCAACACTAATGTCAAGTATGTGCATTTCTGGGTGCTCCCCTCTGTGCTTTTGAAGGAATTGTAACCATTCTTTTTCCCTGTAAAGCACATCCCAGTTTTTTAACAGATACTTTTTGTTTCTGTCTAACAGTGCAGGCTGTAACAGGGTTTTGCTGCATCAGATCTCCCAGTGTAGCTGTTTCTCTGTGTCATTATCCTGTGATGCTTCCAGGGCCTGGCTGCACTGGGGGGAAACGTCACTTATCTGTTATGTCATTAGACAAGGCCATTGATCTCAGTCCAGGCTGCCTTGAACTAAAGCAGAGCTTCCAGCAGCACAACAGCTGTCCTGATACTGGAGGAAGGTTAGCCTGACTCCTGAGCCAAAAGAAAATTCCGTGTCCATGTTCATTGTGATCATACCATTCTGTAATTCTGGGCTCTTCTGCTTCAGCTGTGTCTATTTTACGACCTAAGGAAGCTGGCAGAATTATTTCCTAGTAGGGTTGATTGGGAAGGGTTCCTGATAGTTTAGATTTGATAGAATATCCCCAGGGATGGGGGTGATCCAACTGCTTATCTTAAGAGGAAAATGAAATCATCCTGTCTTGGAATTAATATTTTCAAAAATCTTTCATTTCATGGCCTCTTAGGAGGAGGTCACACTCAGAGTATGGTGGAGGTTGATCTCTGTGGACTGAGCAGAGATGCTTTTGGAGCCTGCTGAGTTCTCAGCCAGTAACTGCAGAACCTAATCTGGCCTTGATTGCTTTACATTGTGAGGGTTTTTTAATAAATGTTTCTTCTTTCCAATATAAACTTAATCTATTCTTAAAATTCAATCTGCTTCTGGTCTGACCAGAGATTTTTTTGCCAAGTCTTTAGCTGGGAGGAAATTACTGTGTTTGAGATCTCAGCCTTAGACCATATATTGGAAATGCTGAACGGGCCGTCTGCTGCTGGAGGTGCCTGCTGAGAGCTCCACTGCAAAACCAAACCTCTGGGGCTTTGGCACTGGAGTTTGGAAGTGCCTCTGGGCATTCCTTGTCTTGCTTCTTTAGCCATGGCACATACCTGGACTGGAAGGGCTGTGCATTCACTTACATGGAACCCAGCATCACAATTGTTTTCCTGTTTTTGTTTTTCTGCATACCCAAAAAGTTGGGCTTAAACTGAATAGTTAAGCTCATTGAAAACAGGCAAATGTGTCTTAAAATCAGACAGCTTGTCTGCACTGTGCATCAAAATAGCTATTTCCACATTTCTGCTGTCCCATAATACTTTTTCAGACAATTTGTATATGCGAAAACAGGCCTGCAAAGTAAAAAACATCTTCTGAGGTTTGTCCCAGGCTGGCTTAATATTGTGCTTTGTTCCCAAGAGGCCACAGAGGAAAAAGTGGGGCTGGAGGCTTATGTTGTGTTGACTCTGGGAATGCTTTTTTCTGAGCCTGTACTGTACAGTTCAGCTTGGCACCACAGCACTCCCTGTGATGAATAGCACTGTGCCAGCTCCTGGCTCTGCTTCCATCTCTCTTGCTAGATTTGAATAACAACCCAGAAATGCTGACCTAATATGGAAGTTGCCTGCTGCTACTTTGACAGAGGATGTTCCCTCTTTCCTGTCATGTTGAAAATGTTCTGAAATGGGCAAGATACAGCCCATTATACTCCTGCTTTTGAATAGTAGAAAGAATGCATTATTCAAACTGGTTTTGGTTTTCCCCTTATTCTCTCCCAGTTCTCAGATTTCCAAAGAGGACTTACTGTAAAGTACTGCAGTTCCTGCCTGGTTTTGGATTTTTTTTTTCCTCCCTACATTTGGGGTCATGTTTTGACTTCTGATTTCCTAGCTGCCCTGAAGAGTTGTACGTCATGGTGATTTCCAGCTGCTCATGAAGCTGCTGCTGGGACTGGTGGTTTGGCACCAGCCCTGGTGTGTGTGGCCATCCTTACGTGTTCCTGGAAGGTGCTCTGGGTCCAGCAAGGTGCTTCCCATGGAGACCAGGCAGGGATGCCTTGCTCTGCCCAGCTGGAGGCACTGAGACAGATTTGATATGCCTATCACTGTGGTAACCTAGGCAGCCCCATAAAAAACAGGCTTGAGGTAGTTAAAAATTCAGCATGAAATCGTAAAGACAATACAGCCAAAAAAAGTGGGTTTGAATCTGTTTTTAACTGAGAATAGTTTAAAGCCACAGTGCATACGTCTGTGTGTGTCTGCTAATAGAATAGCTCAAGCTGGTCAGTGAACAGCATTTTCCCAAAAGACTGTAGAGGGCAGTGATGATTCCAGTTGTGGAGGGATTTATTGATTTTTACTGTTATTTGTTGGCTTGGTCTGGTTGTTCTGTTTCTTTTTTTTTTTTTTTCGTTTCTTTTTTGTTTCTTTTATTTTTTTCCTTTTTTTTAATAAAGATACTCCTTTGGAGCTTCACACAGTGAAATGTCCAAACTTGCTTTTGGTACAGAAGGATAAGGAAATAATTAGGTTCAAATGTTCACTTGGTTCTTTACAAAAAAAAAAAAAAAAAAGAAAAGAAAAGAAAACTTCTCTCAGTTTCACTTGGGTGTAGTCATCCAAGAGAAACTTCCTGGAGAAATGAAGCATTTAACGTTTCACATTTGGGCTGTGTTGGGCTGTGAAGAAGAGTCCCCTGTTTGACCACATCTTCCTGTGTAGTTGGGACTGTTTGATTTCCAAAGAGAAAAAATAATTGTTATCACTGTTTATTTATTATACAGATGGAACAGTGTTTGAATAAAAGAATGTTGTGGTGACAGGTTATATAAAGGTCTTATATGTATGTGTGTATATATATATATATATATACATATATATATATATACATCAAAATAAAGAAGAGGTATTTTTGTGGTCTGTATGGAATATCTGATGTTTCATTTTTGGAAGCCACAAGTCCTGGGCTGCACTGTGTGAATTTATGAGTCCTGTGGTTGTTCTGAGTCTCAAGACTTGCTGTGTTGGAGTGAGTTGGCCCAGGTTGCTGCTGGAAGCAGCCTGCTGGATGAATCAGCCTGTGGGAGAGATGCTTTCTGCTCTGAGTACTCCTGGGCCAAAATACTGAACAGATCAGCTATGCTGATAAAATTGCTGTTGGTGGTAGTGGTGATAAGGACTTTCTTGTGCTCTTGTGTCATCTGTGGTCTGACACTGCTGTTAGACAGACCCTTTCACAGGGCTGAGTTGAAGCTCTAGGCTAAAAGAGGGAGATACTGAGAATTTCTGAAAGTGGATTTTACAACCACAGCCCCAAGGCTTTTACTACTGTGCTTTTGTCCAAACCAGACACAGGAAACACATGTGCCTGTATTGCATAAAACTAGCTTGGTAGGGATGCAGGATTGTTGTTTCTCTCCCACCAAAGAGCCTGTTAAAGTTCAAATAATTTTTTGTTTACTCTGATGCCTGGAAAGGGAACCAGTGACTTCAGTTTTCATAGAGAGAGCTTAACATCCTCTTGAATGTCAAGAGAACTTCCACACTGTCTTCCTTTTTCCTCCATGTTTATGTACTAAAGTAAATTTGAACTAACTATCAAAGCCTTCAGATTTGCTGAACCATTCTTGTCCAAGCCAAGGGCTTTCCCAGTTTCATACTGAACCTGTGGGTCAGTACAGACAGAATCCACTGTTGACCCAGACAATGCCTCACTTGCTGTGTTGGCACTGTAGAGCCAAGGAATTGTTTATCTACTCCTTGAACCCCTGAAACTGAAAGTGAAACCAAGGACAGTTTTTGGCTTCAAAGTTAGAAGGCAACTTTGAGTTTTGCCCAAACTGATGATAATCCCTTGTCCTGTTTCATTTTTACTGTCCAGCAGTTGGGTGACTGAAGGGGCCTGCCCGTGTTGGCTGTCAGAGGGGCTGGTGGGATGGCAGGGTCTGAAGCAGCCACAGCAGCACTGAGCTCTCCCTGGTCAGCTGCTCCATGAATTGCTGCACATTTTCTTTCAGGTTTCAAGCACCATTTAAACTATTTATGCAGTAGCAGCCAACAACAACAGAAGATGCTACCCTGGCTTTGCATTTCAATCTTAATTAAGTGCAGCATAGCTTGCACAGGGTTCAGTAAAGATACACACAACTATTTGGCTTTTATAGGAAATGGATTTTGGGAGGTTGTTCCCAAAGTTCAGTGCTGTTAGCGCAATGTGATGTTTATATTGTAGTGCAGCTTAATGGGTATTAGAGATGAAAGATAGAGAGGGGAGAAGGAGCACTAAGTTAGAGAAGTGCCTACAAAACAAATAACGAGTGAGTGTGCTGTTTGGTTTGGCTCATTTGTATGTATATGGCTGAATCAAGAAAACATTCTTTATTAGGAACAGAGCAGAGCCTAATGTGCTGTTTATTGACACACTCACCGAGTCGGTGGTAATAAAAACAAATGAAAGAGTGTAATTAGCTTTCACGTTAACAACGGGGTTTAATGGGTGTTTATTGTCCACGGGGTGGTGTTTAGAAACTTCCCCATAGATTCCCCACGATTCCATTGCCTCCTGTAGTTCTGTTGGAGAAGTCTGCATTTTCTGCTTGTGAACAAAGAATGTCTTTGCATACCAGAGGTAATTTTTAGGAATTTTCGGTTTGCTAAAATAATAGGGAAAATCCGTGGCTCTCTAATGGATTGGAGGACTGCCTTTTTTTGCATGTTACTGCTAGGACAAAAGTTATTCCCTGTATTATGTGTTCTCACACTGTAGGGCTTGCAGAAGGCTCTTGGCCACTTACTCTGACCTGCTGTTTGTTGCAGGACACAGATTTTTGCCATGGAGAATAAAAACTGACCAAAGCGTCTCCTGGAAAAGCTTCAAGGGATAGCAAAATGTGTAACTTATTTCAGAGCTTGTTTGAGTGATTCCTCACTTTTCCACCAGTTTGTGTCTAATTTGTCGTTTGACTTTGACTGCAAGTTTGTCTCTCAGTCCCTTGGCATTTGAATCTATTTCAAAATGTAAAAGAAGATTTGGATGGAAATCTGAAATTTAACTGTGGCTAAAAATACATTGTCATTTTCCAGAATTTCAAATCCATGATCTTGTTTTTTTGCAAAATCTCATATATTCCTGCCTGTCCAAGTATCATCTCTCTGGGGAAAGACATGCATGGTGTGTAATTCCTGGTTTTTGGGTGATTTTTCCTTTAGAAATAAGCCAGAAACATACACAAACTGTGAGCACTGTCAAGGATCATTTACAAATACCAAATCCAAGTATTTTGTCAGTTTAAGTCCAATCCTGTTGCAATCTCTGAGCTCTAGCGTAATTGTGGGGTTTCATATCTTCTTAACTAACTGAACCAAGAGCCTCACAAAGATGAGTGTTCTACCCCTGCATCTCCAGGCCAGAAGTTTCCTTGCCTGTTGTGACCAGGGAACAAAAAGCAGCTGTTAATCAGAGGTGTAAAACATCTGGATAACTTCAAGCTGCTGAGGTGTTCTGTCATTAGGCATCTTCCTGGAGAGCAAGCTTACTGTTTCCTTCAGCAGGATCAGAGGGGGTTCTGCTGTGCTCATCCTTGAGAATAGGAAGACAATGAATTAAGAATAGTGAATTTTTAAATCCTTTAGAAGGAGATTGTGTTCCATCCTCCATTACTTACTCACCTACATTTCTGTGCTATCACAGCAAAACTCTTCCTGTGCTCTGTTGCATTCCTGTGGAGCAGGTTTTCTTAATGAGAAAGCTGTAAAAACAGATGGATCTCACAGGAAAGGATTTAGTAAAGCATCTGAGACACGTTTCACTGGGAGTGTAAAACAGGAGACCATGACTATTCCTCTTTGTATCTTAATTGTTTTTTGTAAGAAAGTCATTTTGTCTCCCTTGCAGACAACTTCAGCAACAGCAAGCAGAACTCGAAGTACATCAAAGAGATGGGCTGTCATCCTATGACTTATCTCAGGTGAAATTTCTCTGATTTTTCTTTTTGTGCCTGTGATCATTTAAGATGTAAAACAACAGCACATTTCAGCAAAACTAAAAGTACATTGTGACTGTCCCTGAATTCCTTTTTGTCAAATACAGTAGAGGAAATCACCTTCCTCTCTGTATCTCAACAGGTGCCTGTTCCAAGTATACCAGCTAATGTTCATGAGGGTGGAAAGTCTGTGGAAAAGCCTGATGCTATCTTCTCCCAAGAGAGAGATCCTAGATTTGCTGAGATGTTTGCTGGAATAACTGCTTGTAAGTGAATGTCCCTGATGTTTAATTTATAATACTATGATAAGCTTGGTTACATGGTGTAGAGCACAGCTTCAAGAGAATGAAGAGAAACTGCTGTGTGGCAGAGAATTTTCTAAGCAGCATCAGTCTTTGGGACATTTCTTAGCATTTGTCATTAGTTGGTGTTTCCCTAAAGATGATGGAGTAAATTCAAAGAGGGAAGCATGGCTTTAGTGTCACCAGAGCTGCCTGGTTTTGATTCTCTTTTCATTTCACAGGAACACCTTAGGCAGTGCTCCTAGATACTAAATATACTGAGCAGAACATTCCATTTCTAAGTATGTATTTTCTTTCCTAAACAGCATATGTAAATTTATTTCTCTAAATAGGGACATATTTCGCTGAAAAAGGGACAAGAAAGTTACCAGATAGCCTTAAGATAGGCTGCAGTTTTTTATCAAATCACCAGCTTCTGTATTAATGTTTTCACAGTCATATGCTGCCAGCCGTATACTTGTTCTCTGGCCAGTTGAAGCATCTCCAGTCATGTTACCTGGTTGTGAGGACTCCTTGCTCTTTTTCCCACAACTTTTAAAATTTTTAGCAAGTTCTTCTAAGAGTGATAGGACTCTCAGGAACACTTTGTTGTTCTGTATTCCTTGGAAATTACTGTGAGGACAGAGTCCTTACTGGTGCCCTTACCAAAGGATTTCCCAGCCCTGTTGTAAGAGGTAACAGCCAACTTGTCAGTCAGACAGATGGAGCTGTCTCAAAGTAGCCCCAGCCTGTGCTGCCTGTTGCCCAAACAGACAGAAACCGCTAAGACTGGCAGCTGAAGGCATCATCTGAAATATATATCTGTAGGAAACCAGCCAATGCCATGGCTTGTGGAAGAGCTCATTGATTGTTTATTGTTCTTAACTGTCCTCACTGAAAAAGAGGAATTTTTACGTTTGTTTTAAATAAATCAATGTGCAAGTGTCATGCAGTGCGGGGAGGAAACAACCCACAGGGTTTGACTGCAGGGGTGTTGGAAGGTGACCTCGCTGTTGGTTTCTTGTGTCTGGATTGGCTTTTTCAGTTGGAGAAGACATTGTAACTGCAATATGTACTTGATACTCTGTCCTCCTGTTGCTAGGACTTCTCTGCTATTCCTGTTCATCCTTCTCTGTTTACTTGAACAGTGGACTCAACAGCTGAGGCCATAAAAGGGGTCCATTAGAAGGTAGCAAGACTCCAACCCTAAACACCAGAATATGTTTTTCCAAGCAAGAACATCTTGCTTTTTGGCTGCCTTACTGGCTCTTTTTCAGGCAGCTCTCAGCTGCTTGTAAGAAGGGGTTAGTGTTAAGGGTGTCACAAGCTGTGAGGTAGCTGGGAGGTTATGTTCTTGGAAATGCCATTTCTCCTTTCATTCTTATCAATTTACAAGCTGTGCTTTTTTTGAGACATTCTCCCTCTCCAAATTTCTCATGGGAGCTGTGATCAAGGTCTCCTCTGAATGATAAAGGATGGTTCCCAGTCAGGGATGAGGTACCCTGTCCAACACCAATATTGACAAGCCAGAGTGCTGCCTGCCAGACATTTGCCTTATGTTGATACCTGATCTCGTTGTGTAAGAACATGGGCTGACACAGGGAGAGTGCTGCTATAATTCCATGTAGTGGCCACACTTCATTAAAACCCCAGAAGTTGGGAGAGGAAGCCTGGCTTCACCAATTCATGCTAGTGATTTGAAGCATGGGATGATGCAGAGAGAGATGTAGTTAAGAGTCAGAAATGTTGGAGATACTGGTCCTGCTGGGGGAAGGGGCATCATTGACCCGTGGAGTTTAGAGAGAAACGGGTAAAATTCACAAAAAAAAGGAAAAAAAGAAAAACAAACAAACAAAGAAAATATCAGTGCTGTACCAAAGGTGAGAGCAGAGAATTGTGGGAAAAATCCTGTAGGAATACAGCTGGGAGAGATGTGGGGCAGATTCAGAGGCTAAAGGGCATTCAGGGTAACTCAGGAAGGAGAATTAGCTGCTTGCTATTAGTTTAGCTGTTCCCTTTGTCTTGGCCTCATCCTGTGGCACAGACCCTGGTAGCTGCCATGGCAACTCTGCTCCACTTGAGGAATTCCAGTTCATTTGGGGCACTCTCAGTTTTTCTGGTGAGTTGTTCTCAAATATCTAAAGCACCCGCAGGATTTTGGCTCAGTCTCTTCCAGCCCTGAGAGTTTGGTTTCCCTGCAAAAGATGGCCTTAGAAAATGGGGCATCTCATGCAAGAATGACATTACTGCAGAAAAAGACGAATTCATCTGTCCTTCATCTCAGAGATATGCCAACCCATTGTCAGTTCTTCCTGCTGTATGCACAACCTTTTCTACACCTCGTCCCCATTTCTCCCTGTTGTTGTTTTTAAATATGAGGGCGTGATTTTGCAGCCCAGCCTTGGTTTCTGTGCTGGGCAGTAGGTAGCCAGGGAGGAATTTCTACAAATTTCTGCATTACAAAGACAAGCAATGCCAGCTTGCATCAGTGGCATCCACACTCCAAGACTCCTGTGAGGGAATTTGAGGTGACTTTTTTCTTTTGAGAGGCAAGCTTAGGTTCCTGTTAGGAACATAATGTAAGAACAACTTAGGTAACAGAGAAGAGCTGCTGTGTGTTGGAGGCCTTTGGTGAGTCACACTCAGGAGGTCTCTAAAAGCTAGGGAAAGCTAAAAAAAATTTTAAACACCTAAAAAATACTTCTGTTATTTGTGAGTTGAGTGGGTCTTTTGTCCGAGAGAGCATCTTGTGAAATGAGTGGGATCTGAGAAGAGCAAAGGGGAAAATGAGGGGGCAGACTTGATTTCTAGGCCTGTCAAGTGCATGGCAACATATGGGTGCAAAACCATCAGTGAGTTGCAGGGTGTTTTGCACTTGGAGGGGAGATGGAGAAGGTGAATAAAGGGTGGTGTAGCAGACCTGTAAATTATTTTAAGAGAAGTACTAGTGAGATTTCCCTGAGCTTTGGAATAATCCAGTACCAGAAAATTAAATTAAGGGACCAAATGGTGCTGTTCACCCAATCTTGTTTCATTCAATTAGAGATTGATCTCCAGTTCCCACATTAAGGGTAGACTATAAAAGTTAATGGCATCTCTTTGTGCAATTTATTCACTACACTCATTTGTCTTTCACCCCTCTGGGGTACTTCCATTCTACTTCATGACTCCCCGTCCTATTTCATGGCTCCCCATCCTATTTCATGGCTTCCCATCCTATTTCATGGCTCCCCCAAGCCGCATGAGGACAGCAAATTCCACAACAGACCTGTGTTTTGCCTTGGCACAGCTCAGGTGTGCAGGTCTTGTGACACTGAGGAGCAAAGTGCCTCCAGCCACCTGGGATGCAGGTGGGGCTGCAGGTTGTCACCCCAGCATCAGCAGGCAGTGCCACCAGGCTGCTGGGGAGGTGGGTGCTCCTTGGGCTGTCCCAGGGAGCAGATTGTCAGCTGCTTAGGAGAGAGCTCTTGGACACCCTTGGGTTCTTTAACCCAGCAGGGTGGGGGCTCTCAGCTGCCACCTCAGTGCAGACAGGCTGTGGTTACAGCAGTGGGGCTGGAGGCAGAAATGTGCCCTCACCTGAGCCACAGAGGTGCTAATGCATCACACTCTCTTCAGACCAGGCTGGTTTCCTGTGCCATTCCTCCATCCCCTGGGCAGCCCCAAACACCTTTCTTCCAGAGCAGCTTTGTTCCCCTCTCCAGCCTGTGCCTGGGGCACCCTCACTCCCCACCTGGAGCAGCTTCCAGCAGGTCAGGGCTGTGTGGCCAGAGGACACAACCAGCGCAATGTTCCATGCAAACAGTGGCACTAACAACCCACAGCCTCTCAGGAGAGTGTAGAGCGTACACAAACCAACTGTGCCTCTGCTTTCACACCGAGTTGTCACTTTGTGTCCTTCCTAACGTGTTCCACAGGGCTTCTTCATGAAGCCTGAAGAAGGCAAGAAAACAACATACATTGTAATTGTCTTTAAATATTTTTTCCTTCATTATCTCACCCCCTAAATTAATTCTTTTTCTGTGATTTGCTTTTCTCTTGTAGCAGATAAAAAAATGATGGCCTCTGCATCCACAGCAGGGAACCAGCAGCTTTACTCACAGGGAAGCCCATTTCAGCCAGGACACTCGGGAAAGACTTTCAGGTATTTGGTGCAGATCCTGAATGTGTCAGTTCCTGTCTGAGAGGGGGAAACTGTCCCTCTGCAGTACTGTGGAAACAAAACCAACCCAAGGTGCAAGAGCTTTATTTACTTGAATGAATTTTACTTTGCGTACGCTTCACTGCTGGTGATGTTTCAGCTCTTAGGCTGGGCTTACAAACTGAGATGATTTGGGTATTTCTCTTAAAAATATTGGCTGGTAAGTAGGCACTTTTTGCTGTGATATTGTAGTTGGAAAAAAGCTAAGGAGCAGCAACAAATTCTGAAGGAAAACAACTCTGAGAGGTAACAGGAGAGAGATAACAGGACAGGGTCAGAGATCTGAGGAACATTCAACCAAGCTGGGAAGGTGCAAAGATTTGTTTTGCACTTCAGCTGTCACTGCTCCTGCTGAAGGGCTGCCTTGAAGGGCATTGATGTAGGTATCAAAGGGAACAGAGGGATGCTGCATCCTTAGTCCAAGGTGAGGACTGGGACAGGGGCATCAATACTTTTCTAAGGCAGGTTCCAAATCAAGGTGGTAGAAGGTGGTGGTCTGGAATGTTCCAAAGCATTTTTGAGTTCTTCTAAGTGTGTGTCATTGCCTACCAGCTGGCAATACAGGTTCCAGTTGCTTTTGGAAAGTGTGGTAGCAGCAATCTTGTTGACCTTAGTGCCTTGTGATATCACCGTGGGACAGGGGCATCAATACTTTTCTAAGGCAGGTTCCAAATCAAGGTGGTAGAAGGTGGTGGTCTGGAATGTTCCAAAGCATTTTTGCGTTCTTCTAAGTGTGTGTCATTGCCTACCAGCTGGCAATACAGGTTCCAGTTGCTTTTGGAAAGTGTGGTAGTGCAATCATGTTGATTAGTGCCTTGTGATATCACCACTGTCTTACTGGAGTTTAATTCTCCTGTTCAAACCAGCCAAGGCTGTGAAAGGGAAGGAGCAGCCACTCAGAACCTGCCACTTCCTTGAACTGGAAAACATTGGCAAACAGTGATTTTATTTAAACTAATGTGCTTTTAAAGTCATAATTGCTAATAATCTCAGTGAAGAGAAATAAGATCCATGTGAGTGTGTTTTGTCAAATTAAAACCAAATATAACTTGGGGAGATATGAGAAATGAAATGTCTTTTAATTGGATATTGTGTATTACTGGGTGACTGACTTGCCATCTGGGGGTTTGGCTTGTGTTCTGTTCATTTCCTTTGCTAATTCCTGATGTTTAACTGTAGCTTTTTTCCTACTGCTATTCTGTTACATCAAGTAATGGCTTGCATTTCTGCCAGCACTTCCACTCTCAGTGCACTGTCCTCTGTACAGTCTCCAGCCTGGCCCGTTCAGTCTCTGAGCCTGGGCAGCCTCTAGGCACTGCTCTACAGAAATCTGCTTTCAAAGTACAGATCCAGATACAGTCCAAGCTCCTTAGGTGATGGGACTTGCCAGTCCAGCTGAGAAGGTTTTGGCAGTAGGGCCAGCTCTCCCCAGCAGCTGCTGTGTGCTCCAGCCAGATTTAGATGGACTTTCTATTCTACATTTCCCTCTTTGGAGACTCTGTGATAATATAAAATAAAAATAAAACAGACACTTTAAAAAATTAGAAAATGCTACAAGGCATTTCTAAACATACACTTTGCTTTTAGGGAGTAAGAACTCCAGAATAACAACTCACATATTCACATGCCTGCCACGTTTTGCTTACACTCTGGGAGGGATTCTGTCAGCCTTTTCCAAGGATTCAGCCTTGTTTACTTCTTTTTCCAATCTGCATTCTTCTCTCTCTGTAAGATTGTGAAAATAAACAATAGGGATGGGATTGGAGAAAAGAGCAAGCTGTTTCAGTGGATCCACAAAAGTGGTTTTGTGTGCTGTCTTCATTTCTATTCATTTCTATATGACATGTAAAAAATATGGTTTTATATATAAAAGTACAGTCACAATGTGTAGTTGTCTAGATTCCATTGCTCAAGACTTCCATGAGAATAAAATGGTGAAGCGGAGCAGTTCCTTCATAAATTTTTTTCTTAAAATTAGGAATTTCTAGGTATTTATCTGTAGTGAACTTCAGTAAGTAGGAAACAGCTAACATAAAGAAATTTAAAATACTATTTTTTACTATTATTAGTGTTCCAAAGTTGCTACATGAGTTTAACTTCCTGTCTTGATTGTTCTTTTGCCAGGGTATATAACTGCCTGTTCTTCTTTAGCATCAGTTGGTGAAAAAAGGAATTAAAAGCCCTTATTTTTAATATGTAGTACATAATTCTTCATTTCCCAGGCAGGAAACAAATAAGGAAGTGCTTATAAGTGTCATCTTTTGTGCCCATCTTCATTTAGAATGGCATTTAAGCAAATTATTAAATGCTGTTGACTTTAAGCACAAATTTGTGATGAAGTACCTGCTTGAATACTCTCTGCAAACCAGATTTTTAATGCATTAAATGTTAAAGTGGTGTGGGACTAAGTGTGTATGCACCATGTGTGGGACTGTATTTATTCTTAGAAGCCCTTTCCAAGAGATTACTGAAGTCTAATTCAAAATAATTCTGCCTGCTGTGTCTATTAGGACTGACATTTAGAATGCCAGTGTGTTTCATAGTTTTGTGATGGTTCTCAGTCATTTTTCTTACCAAGACAGACTCAATAATTAGCTTTAATGTATCGTCAGTATTTCTTTATCTGGGATACAATCTGTGCATTGGGAACAGGCCCTACAAATGAGGCTCTGTGTCTGTTCTGAACCCTCAGTTCATCTGTGGTGCACGTGCCTGGTGTCAACGACATCCAGTCTTCCTCCTCGACGGGCCAGAACCTGACCCAGATATCCCGGCAGCTCAACCAGAGCCAGGTGGCCTGGACGGGAAATCGCCCACCGTTTCCAGGACAGGTACTGATTTCAAGTGATTCATTTTCATGGGCATTAAAGATTTGCACTCTCTGTGCTTTTTACAGAAGTGTTAGTAAACCCGTTTATGGTGCCAGGGTAATTAATTTGCGGCTGGGGTGGAGGTGTGGCAGTGTGAGCAGCTGCCCCGTGTGTGGCTGCTCCTGGTTTGGGGTGGTGGTCACTGAGGTGGCAGTGGCTGCACTGACCCAAACCCCACTGAAAGTTCTTGTCCTGCATTTGTTTTATGTGTTCACTGGATGAAGGAAGAAGGACAGATCTTCTGCTTTAGTATTAAGCCTGTGAATTAAATCTCTCTTGGGCCAGCCTTGCACCCAGCAGTGTTACCTGCTGTTGTCAGGGTGGGCAGAAGGGGCAGGTGCAAATCCAGGCATGGATTGGGAGCAGAGGCTGTTCAGCCTGGTGTTCCTCCATTAGCACTGCCCAGCACAGCTCACGCTGCTGTGTGCTGGAGGAAACAGCACATACCTCCATCAGATGCACTGTGCTTGGCAGTGTTAGCCCAGAAATCACCTCTTCTTCTGTGTAACTGTTAAAAAATGGTTCAAAACTCTATTAAAAGACAAATAATATGAAATAAGTTTGATCTTAATAATGCTGTTCTTAATCCCTCCTGAGTTCTTGTTGTTTGGCAGGCTGGAATGGCATGTTGGGGTGGTCACTAAATAAATTTCCAATAAGTGAATTGTTTCCACATTAATCACTGATTATTCCCAGACCTCAGAGTGTCATGGTTCTCTGTCACACCTGGTTAATGAAATCCAGTCACAACATTAACTCATTTCTTCAAATGATATGGAAGGTGCTGAAAATGACTAAAACAAATTACTCATCCCTCTTACTGCACAAATTTTGTCCAAATCAACCGAGTTTGGATGTGAATGTAAGGAAATTGAAATTAATTCTTCCATCTTACATAAAGTAAAATGGAGCTAAGCCTTGCAGAAGTGACATGCTGAGCTCCCACTGCCGTTGTAGAAATGGCAGAAATGTACAGTTTCTTAGCTTGGAACTGAAGACTTAATAGCATCTTCCATATGTTATATGCCTGTTGGGATCTGTTCTCCTCCCCCAGCTCCCCTGCATTTGCCCAAAAATCATAGAATCATTAAGTTTGGAAAAGGCCTTTGTGGTCCTCAAGTCCAACCATTGCTGCCAATTTCACCACTAACCCCCATTCCCAGGTGCCACATCCACACATCTTTTAAACACCTCCTGGGATGGTGACTCAATCTCTTCCTTGGGCAGCCTCTTCCTCTTCTTGACAGCCCTTTTCGTGAAGGAATTTTTCCTGCTGAGAAGTGTTGGGAAGTGGCTCAGTGAGCACTTCTGCCAGCTGCCTCAGTGCCCTTGCAAGGATCCTGCCCAGCCCATGGACCTATGTGTGTCTGAGTGGTGTAGCAGGTCACTGACCTTTTCCTCTTGGATTGTGGGGCTTCATTCTGCTCCCTGTCCCTCTCTTCCTGGGAGGAGCAGCTTCCTTTACCTGCACTGATTGCCAATAACAGTGCACATCATGACAGATACCCAGAGATGTAATCACCTTCAATTTCTCTTTGTGGGCTTGGTTAGGCAGTGAGTAGCTTGGACAGAAATGAAATACAGCTGAGACAGGAGAAACGTGCCTGTTGGCATCCACAGAGTTTATTTAGTCTTTGCTTTATGTTGCAAAAAGTGATTCTGCTGTGCTGTTCCCCAACAATAAAACTTCTTCCTTCTTTAACTTTCCTTCTTTTATTCCTCAGCAAATTCCATCTCAGTCTGGCAAGGCTCAGTCGTCTCCCTTTGGCATTGGAACAAGTCACACCTACCCAGCTGACCCATCATCTTACAGCCCCCTGTCCAGCCCAGCCACCTCTTCTCCAAGTGGGAATGCCTACTCCAGCTTGGCAAACCGAAGTGCAGGCTTTGGTGAGTTTTAAATGGTGTAACACAGAAATGCATATAGAAATGAAACTCTTCAGCATTAACTTCATTAAAAATCTTCTAATATTTAAACAGTAAAAATGTTTTTTTATTGTTCTTTTTATTGTTCTTTTGGTGGGTCAGTTGGGAAACGCAGGTGGTGAAAGAGTTTTGCTTTCTGCTGCTGAGTAGAGAGGACAGAACTGACCTGTTCCCTCCATGCTCCATCTCCTCCACATCCAACACATTCAGAATATTGTCATTTTATGGTATGAGGGAACTTTTTTTTTCCCCCCAGTAAATGGTGTCCTGAAAGATTCAAAATTTGCTTATATATCTAATAATAATAAATTATTAATAAATAAATGACTAATAATCATCCTCTCAAATTGTGGCCAACTGGTTCAATTTGCCTTTTTTTTTTTTTCTTCATTTTTTTACTTCATAGTGGTGTCCTCTTGCACTGAGATTGCACATTAGACTTTGGCTGAAAACAGGATTTATTTTTGCCCCCAGTGCTACCAACCTAATCAGAGTAGTTGCCATGTTTTGAAATGGTTTTCTTTTCCTCTTATATGCTAATTTGGTGGCATTCAGACCGTGACCCCATAGGTAACCCCTTGGTAAATTTTCTGCGCTCCACCAGAAGGAAAATATTCAAGAGTAAAATATATAATGGATTCCATGAAAAATGTCTCAGGGTGACAATAAGGTGCAATCCCAAAGGCACAGGTAGCAGTGTGCTGATGTGTGCTGTTTGCTCCTGTCCCTGGGGAACAGACCTGGCACAGACCTAGAAAAACGGCATTGGGATGGAGCTCTTCCCACACAGCTTATTCCTCCCTCCATTTCCATTCCCACCAGGCATTGTACATTTGTTTATGAGACAGCCTTGTATTTCAGGCTTAAGCTACTTGGCAAGAACCCTTTCACTTAATGAGAAACATCTCCTGACCTACATCAGTTTGGGTGCTATTAATAACCCAGCCTTCACGGAGACGAGCGGCTTCGAGCGCCGGCTGGCAGGAGATGCTCTGCTGAAAAGAAGCATCATTTGCTTCACTCACTTAATTTCACTGTGTTGTTCTGAGGGGAAATAAAACAAAACAAACTTGCAGCTTGCTTTTAAAGGGTAACTTAGATGAATTTTATTTTGGCTCTTAAAATGTCTGCAGGGTTTTTGAGTCAGCTGGATTACTGTTTGTGGTAATGTCAGTGAGGGAAGAACTGTAATCATGTACTTCAGATGTGATAGAAATGCATCACTACAGCCTGTTTACTTTCCTGTAAAACCTTCCCTTTATCTGTTTTGCATGGCTTAGCTGGTGGCCAAAGGGATTGGGTTAAATATGTGTGTCTGTATTTTCTGAAGTCATGACTGTGAGTAGTGGCTGATTTGACATGATTGAGTCTGGCTATCAAAGACTTGGCATAGCACAGGTGTGGAAGTTTGGCAAAGGAAATTTGGCACCCTTGGCAGAGGATGCTGGTGATCAGGAAGAACCAGACATGCACAGCTTGACCCTCTGTGTGAGAGGGAAACAGGCAAAAATAGCTGGAGCAGTTATAGAGAAAAACATTAACAAGAAAAAAGAGGAAGAAATGTTTGGAGGAAAAGCATAAGTATGGTGGCAGGTTTTCCAAAATGCTAGTTCTTAGAAGGAGATACTGTGACTAAGGAATGGAAAATTACCCAAAAATATTATAATTCAGTGGCAGTCTGTAGAACTGCAGGGTAAAATTAGTCCAGCTTAAGTGTAATCTGTTACTGTACTCATGAAAAATGTATATGTAATAGGTAACCAAATTAATGTGTGGCAACATATTTTTTTTCTGGTGGACCATTTAGAAGAAATTAATCTCCTTGAAATCATCATTTAAAGTGTATTTACAATGAAGCCTTGCTATTCGTGTTACTCTATCAAATGTAAATGGCCTGAGACTTTTAGGAAAGTATCACCATATTGACATGATAGTAATTTGATATGGAATATTAAATAAATCATATTAAATGCATATTAAATAAATCATTTTGCAGATGTATCACTGGAGAACAGGACAGTCCCGAAATGCCTGTATTTAATCAGCAAGGCTGTTGTCTGTTGATCATACTGTTTCTATATCTGCTTAAAAAAAAAATCCTGGATCTGCTTACATGCTTCTTAGATGAGTACCAAACTGTGCAGCCACTGCTCCACAAGAATTCAGTGTTTTGAAGAGAAACAGCATTCAGATGGTGAAGTTTGGTTTTTAAGTGAAATGAAAAATAGTCCTTATTATGATTAAAAGTTTATGGGGGGATGCTTGAAAATTGTCTTGCAGTACCACATCACTGTGCATTTTGCCCTGGGCAGTTCATGGCTGTGCAGCCACGGCCCTGAGCTTTGCTCTGGGGCTGAAACACCCGCCAGCTTCCTCCTCGCAGGGCTGGTGTCACCCAGGGCCTTTCTCCAGGGCTCCTTTGCAAATCTAGCACTGATGGATGCTGCCCCACAGCAGGCAGATGTTCTGGAGGAGCTGCTCTCTGACTTGTGCCTTTTCTTCCCCCGTGCAGCTGAAGGTGGCCAGAGCAGCGGGCAGTTCCAGGGCAGACCGTCCGAGGTGTGGTCGCAGTGGCAGAGCCAGCACCACAACCAGCAGAGCGGGGACCAGCACTCGCACGCGCAGCCCAACCAGAGCGAGGTGTTCCAGGTGAGCCCAGGGTCCCTCTGATCACCTCTCAGTTCTGAGTTAGAGCCGTGGCCCCTGAGGATCAGGTGCAGCAGAGCCTGCAGCCCTTCCCTGCCGCTTGTGCTGCCATAGCCCTGCTCTGCTCTTAGGTGCCCTTAGCTCCTCAGGTGGTTTGGGTCTCTGCCACACAACAGTATCTTTGCTGATGCAGAACGCTGTTTTCCCTTCTCTTTGCACCCTATACTTAGGGCTTTCGTGTTTTGCAGGGAACCCATGAGGTGTTCCCAGGTGGAGTGTCTTTCTTACCCTGGTGCTGGCCTCTGACATCTCAACTTCAATTAGATATCAATGTCATTCTCTTTGACAGTTCAAGCAGGAAAGGAGTGTGATACTGCACAGAAGATAGTGGACAATAATTTTTTAAGGTTAAACCTGGTCAGATATCAGACAGGTGATAAACAATCATCTTCAACTACCTAATTAACTATAATTCTGAGTCTTGACTACTGATAGCAAAGTCCTCCTGTAAAGTAGGACTTCGTAAGTTGACTAAGGACATATCTGTCCTTGTATAACTGGTTTTTAAATTAGATGAAGAAGACAGTTTACAAGAAAACAATGCAGATAAATGCAGGAAAGACAGTTCAAGCCCCAAGCAAGTTTAGAAGTGGGGCGCCTCCTTGTCTTTTGGAAAGTAAATTCACCTGCAAGACTGGGCTCGTGTGCAAGAACGCTGCAGAAGAGCTGTGAGCATGGGAATATTCCTGTGTGGATGAAGCATTGCTTTCACACAAGATCAAACAAAAGCACTTGATCTGGAATAACTGCCTGTCTGCGTGCTCTTAGCCCACAGCCCAGGCAAGATTGGTCTGTTGCAACTCTTTGTGTTAGCAGAGGTTAATGGCTGTCCAAGAGGATATTCAGGGTAATTTCAGTGGTGCTGCTGACAGCATGGTTTGATGGCCAGCAGAGACACGGGGCTCCAAGCAATGTCTTGCTTGTTTCTTAAGAAACGTCTCAGGAAGTTAGTGGAAAGGAAGACCATGGGATAAAAGGAGAGCTGGGCTCATCTGTAGAGCTCTTGGAGGTGAGCATGTGTTTGAAGGGAGTTAGGATAATAGCTGGATGGGATAAGAAACTTGGATGAGTTTAAAGGCCTCCAAGAAATTGCTTGGATTGTGCCCAAAGTCTGCCCTGGGTCAGCTGGGCTTAAGGAGAGAGCCAGACTCAAGAGGAGACCTTGCTGGATCTGTGCCTGAGGAGACTTGGCCACAGAGGCCCCAGCAGCAGAAATGCCTTCAGACATGGAAGTGTAGACAGGAGGGAGCAGCTACAGTTTCCCTTTGGCTGGGAGAGAATGTGGGAAAACATCAAATAAGTCCAAGTTTTGGTCAGAAGATGAAGGCTGACCCTGGCAGCTCAGACACTGCCAGTTGTGCTCACAGTCTCTCTCACCACATTGGCAAGGATGCTGAGAAGATTTTGGATGGATTTTAATCAGTCTTTATTTTGGAGGAACTTCCCAGTACCCAGCAGCTCTCAGTTCTTTCACAGAACACATCCCGTGAGCTTTCTTACTTGTTTTTTTGGTTTTGTTTTATTGTGAGGATAGTGAGCCATCCCTGGCAAGACTTGGCTTTGTGGTAAGAGCTTATTACTGTAAGGACTGACAGGAAAAGCAAGCATAAACTCTGGTTTTCCCAGCAAGGGATATCTTCTCCCTGTGGCTTCAGTGTCTGGCTGAGGAAAGGTTGAATGTTTCTTGAAGCCTCCTGCAGAGACCTCACTTGGCTCAAGACACGTAAGAGAAATTACCGTGAAATCCCATTTCTCCTGAGAAATTCCTGCTATTTCCTCTGCCTCTGTACATTCATGTGGGCTGCTTGGGCACCTTGTTAGCTGGGGAGATGTCCAGGCTTGAGTGCTGCACAGAGCAGTGTTGACCTAGAGCGTGCTGGTAGGAGGTGAGACCTTGCCCAAACCCATCCTGACACAGCTGGAGCTCCAGTGTGTGAGATGTTGTGCACTCCCCATGCAGTGAAACCAGAGAGTTTGCTTCTTCTCTCCATATGTAGCTCCCATTCCAAGGGGAGCTGTTTCAGTCTGGGAGGACTAGAAGGCAGCTCAGATGTGTTTTATTTCAGAGGAGCAATCCAAAACTGCCCTGCTGAAGTCCCACCTCTTGTTCAGAAACACTCCAGCAAAAAAGTAGCACATAAACTTTAGCCCAGCCCTCTGCACAGGTCTGTTTTTCACCTTATTTATTTAAACTTGGCCCTTTCTGGTTTTACACTGAAAAGATGAACAGGAAACAGTTTACACCTTATTTATTTAAACTTGGCCCTTTCTGGTTTTACTGAACAGATGAACAGGAAACAGTTTGTGTCTGGATAATGTGTTGGCAAGTGAGACTTCACTTTGATTTTTCCTTATCATGCAGGACATGCTGCCGATGCCTGGGGATCCAACACAGGGTACTGGCAATTACAACATTGAAGATTTTGCTGACCTGGGCATGTTTCCACCATTTTCTGAGTAGCTTGTGAAGCAGAAATGGAAGTTCTTCTTCTCCAAGGCCATTTCAGTGTAATTTTGGCGCTGCTCTTTCTGTGTTGCATTTCTGTAGAAGCTACTAAACCAGAAGACACATTTCTCACATTTCAGATAGTGGTGTAGGGCTTGCTCTCTCCTCCTTGGGGTGCATCAGTGCCAGCAGAGGAGCTCCAGCACTTGTTAGTGTTCATTGACAGCTCCATTGTTTGGGTTTTTTTTATATTTTATTGTCATCTACCTCAGAGATAAAAATTTTGCTTGTTTTAAAAAAAAAATCTCTGAGTCTCAAATATTTGAATGTGAATGATGCATAATATTTCCTTTGAATGGTAATTTTTCAATAGATAACAAAGTAACAAAGACTAACAGAGAAAAGGTAAGGTCATGTCTCGTTACAGTGCCTACCGCTCAATTTCGATGCCTTGCTTTAAGCTTAAGTTTCTGAAAGCAGACACAATATTCTGTTTTCTTTGATTCTTGTAGGTTTTAGGTCACTTTAAATGTTGAGATTAAGCAACATAATGTAGGCCTCTCTCACCAGAAGATTCAGCTCTGCCTTTTCTAACTTAAACTTGAATGTGTGTACATTTTGGTACTTTATGTATATCTTGTGCTGTATGAAGTGATTTCTTGTACTGGTTTCTTTTGCCTTTACAAAGGGTCCATTCTGGAGTGTACTGAAAAGGTTGATGGTGTATGTGAAGGATTTGAATATTGTGGGAGTCTCCATCACTTCACATAGGTGTTCTTACTTTTAATTCAGGTGGTTCTCTGTTCAGAACAAACATTTACTTACATAAGCTATTAGTCTGGTTTTGCACTGAATTGAGGCCTATAACCTTGTACATTTCTCACTGGCTGCTTTAATTATTATTGTTCTTGCTTTCCCAAAAATATTGCCTCTTAAAAAATGACTGTAAACACATCAAGATTGCATTTTCTATATTAGCTGCATTTCCTTTCTGTGAAGTACTTTTTATACTGTGAAACCTCACATTTTAACAGTGGAAGGTGGTGGCCTGTTACTAGGAAATCGTTCAAGCTCATTTGCTGCAAACAGCGAGATGGTTTTGTAGTGTATAATTTTTTTAAAGTGAGTTGGTAATAGATATTGATTGGACTATTGTCCACTGCTTACACAGTGATAACTTGAATTTTTGCTTGGATTCCCAAGCAAATGCTTCTGCTAACCCTGTTCTGTTAAAAATGGGATTTTCAGCATACCAGGTTTGTTGAGGACTCTTGACTGCTCTGAATGTTGTATGCTTTTCCACAGAGGTAAGTTAATCACCTTCCTCTTGGGCGAGTCACCTGCCATATGTCTTCATGAGAGATGTGGTAGGAATCTTTTTGTTCAGTATTTCATATGCATGATGAGTTACAGAGGTTGGATTGTGAGGATTTTATCCTGATCATTTCTTCCAGGATGAGAGGAAAAAGAATCACAAAGGCCCAAGTTCCTGCATACAGGTTGTTCATACCCTTTGAGGTTGGGTGCAGAGCAGGAAGAGGCAGCTTCCCTCAGCTTTTGGACATTCAGGGGCTATCGTGGACCTGGGAAAAGCAGCCCCAGGGCAGAGACCCCATCCAGAAGATCTCAGTGTGTGCAGTGATTCTTAGACTTCACAGGATTAAGCTCCTCCTCTCATGGCTCCTCTGGAATTCTGGGGTGTCTCTGAGTGGGGACAGGGTGCACATCACCACAGTCCGTGTTTTTTTTTGGTTCAGGTGAGCGTGGCCCAGGGACAGGGCTGGCACAGATGGGGCTGTGCCCGTCTGACACTGCGGTCCCAGCCTTCTCCCAGATCAGCATGTCATGTTCAGTAGCCAGGAAGAGTCCTCTTTACTATTTCTCTCACTAAATCTGGGACCAATCTCTTACCCTATGTGCAAGTGGGGCTAGGGAGTCTTTTTTTTTAGGACAGTTTTGTGTATCTCTAGATGAGGTACTGGAGAGGCCTTGGATCTCCTGATCTGCACTTGCCTCACCGAATCACACTGAGAACAAACAAAAATCTTCCTATCTCTTCTCCCCCAAAGATCAGGAAAATACCATCTGAGGTGAGCAAGCCATGTGCTTAGGCACTTTGCTTTTAAATCCATGGATGTTTATTCTCTTGGAGCCATCGCCCTTTCCCCTCACGCTGCTCAGATGAATGACTGCTCATGGAATTGGAGAGGCAAAGCTCTGCTGTGAAGTTCACTGGTGTCTCTAAGAGGTGCCTGAGTGCTGCACCAGTGAGTGAGGTGCTCAGTGTCTGTGCAGGGTTTGAAAGGGCTGTTCATGAGGGAGGGAGCAGTAGGTGAGCAGTTTGTGTCTCTCCACAGAAGATGCTTGACATGATAAATGCCAGTTCTTCTGAAATTTTTTATAATTTTTTCTGTAAAGTGGATAATGAATTCAGCTAAAAAGTGCTGTTCCTGTGTTTTATTTTACCCAACAAACTGCTCTGAGTATATTTATAGTTTATTTTACTTCCTGAATTCAATTTCAAAATAAGGTTTTTAAAGTCAATTTCTTTTTCCTGACATCAGCAATGATAACTTCCTCAGTGTGTTGTGGGTTTTTTACTACTGAAGAAGGCTTCCCGTGTGCAGATTTTGGTTATGCAGTTCAGAGTGCACTGTTAGAAGAAATTTAAGCACATCTCTCTTTTTCTTGTTGTTTTTTTGAAGTCAGTGCACCTGAGGGATCAGAGCATGGACTGCTTCTCACTTTGTGGGCTCCTCTAGGGAAGGTGATGGCTGCTCTGTTCAGGGCAGTGTGGGCAGTGCCAGCTTTGGGTTTGGGTTTTCCCTGTCAGCCCTCTCTGTTGTGCCATCCCGAGCCAGCGCATTTCCACCCTTGCCCTGCTCCTCTGCCTTTCCTGGCCACCCCATCTCCTCCAGCCCGGGTGGGAGGCGTTGGGAATGCCATTCCCTGCCGGCGAGGAGGGAGCAATTCGTGACTTTGGCAGCTTTGTGCTTCTGAGGCAGCAGCAGCTGCAGGAGAGGCTTTGCTGTGCTGCAGCCCTGGCCCCGCCGTGTCCTGCCTGCTCCCCCAGCCAGCTCCCCAGGTGCTGTGGCTGACAGAGCTGTGCTGTATCTTGCGTGCTATATCTTGTGTTTCCTTACTACAGGACTTGGCTTATCCTGTAGCTGCAGTTGCAAGGTGCATTGGGAATGCTGATGTTTTTGTTACGTGCTCTCGGTGTAGCTTTGTTGGCACTTTGGCTTCCAATTTCCAGAATTTCATAGGTGGTGGATTTCTCATTTCTTTTGTGGATTTTTTTCTAAGCTGGAAATAAAGCTGTGATTTCTGATCGAATTGTTGCAAACACAGTGTTTCTTGAAACGGAATCTTTTGGGGTTTAAACTCATGGATCAAGGAACTGCAAATAGTGGTGGTCTGGGTGAGTTATTTCAAGGAGCAGACATGTAGACTGAGACAGTTTTAGATACTAAAATATTTATGTTCATTTATTCAGATGAACAATCCAAGACTCCATCACATTACTTGTGCAAGTGCTACTGGCAGTACCTACAGTGATGCTTTAACCAGATAGTTCCATTTGTAGCTTTGTTGCCTTTTCTTTTATTTTGAAGTACAGTATGAAACTGTAAATACTTCTTGCAGAACTGCCTTTTTAACTCTTAATTACTTTTGGCACAGTGTTAAATAGTGTTGGATTTACCCAATTGCTATGACATATATTTTTATACATAGGTGTACTCTTTTTTCAAGAATAATACAGCCATTTTGTCATTAATGCCTTATGGGTGTCATACTGCTGTTGCTCTTTGTTTGCAAGGTATCGAGTGGACTAATTTCTAGTTCAGATATTTTCACTTTTCCTGGCAGTGCTCAAGTTTGGCTTCAGGTGATTTTTGCCAGAGCCCCATTTTTCACAGTTGTTAACTGTGAGAAGAAGAGAATGTGGGCTTGGGTTTGTTGCTGTTAATGGAGCAAAGAAAAGGTGATGGCATCTAATTGTCTTTAAAAGGTCAGACTTCTCCTACTCTAAACCAGAGTGCATTTCATGAAACTGATGACTGTGGGCACTGATTACTTTGTGTAGATTAATGGTCTTTAAAAAATAAAGGGAAAGGGGAAAAAAAAAGGAAACAACTCCAAAAATGGGCTTCTGTCATTGTTAGGCACTTGGTTACGTATCTGTTTAAACTCTTCATATTGATGTGAAATTGTGCTGTGGATAAAGTGTATTTTGTACTTCTGAATGTTCTATATTTATGACTAACAAGTACAGAATCAGTTGTGTGTATGTATAACTAATAACTGCCTTTTTAAATTTCATTAAAATAAAAATGTCATGAGCTGTTGTTAATTCCTGTCTTTTTGTAAATAAGTAAAATGTGCTGTTGGGAATTGTCAAGTAAGCAATAACCCTGAATTATAAGATCCATGCCAAAACTCAGAAGATGAGGCATTGATCTTTGTCTTTGAAATCTCCTCCAGTGCTGTGTGGTTGGGGACAGGATGTTCCTCTTTAATCTGTCTTGTAAAGGCTGTCCAGAAGGAGCAGGAGAGGAATGATAGTTTGAGAGTTCAACTTTTAAAAGTGTTCCAGAAAAACATTAATTAATAGCCTGTTCTACTGATGATGCTGAGGTGTGTGAATTGGTGGCTGTATTGTAGAGGATTTCATTAGAACACAATTGCTTTAGAGCTAATTCATGGTCTGGGGCAGTATTTATTCACTCCCTGGGGTGGTATCACAGTGGTTTCCTTGTCTACCTTTTGGTCTCATTGTACAAAGTTAAAAAATACTTGTATCCTTGCCACAGACATTCTGGTGACCTTTTCAGATTGCCTATGTAAGGCACATTTGCCTTTCACTGTGGGTCTTCATTGCATTTATATTGTTATTTCTTTGTCGACTTGATACTTTGTGAGCAGGACTTACCTTGCTCATAAATCCAAAAAGCTGGTGACTGTGCCATGGCAGGAGCTGAGGTGCTCCAGGGCCCGCATTCCTGGCATGGGGTAGGTGGTGTTTCCACAGCTCATACTCCATTTTTAGGGCTCTGCCTGTGGAGAGCAGGCGTGGGCTCTGCTGGGACCTGGCAGGGAACTGGGGCACTGGGAAGGGATTAATCAGATGCAGCCACCAGCCCCGTGCTCTGCTGGGCTCTGCTCACTGTGTGCTCATCCCAGAGACACGGCTTGCTCAGTGAAAATGGGCCATCCATGCTGTTCTGCTGTGAAAATTGGGGTTTCAATGCAGTGATATTCTCCTGGCGTTTGCTCAGGTGCTGCTGAGCATCTCTGATGAACAGGCATGTGCCAGACCTCGAGCCCCATTTGGAAGTGCAGCCACTTTCATCCTGGCAGCTCTTTGCTGCTGTTCCAGTGCAGTTTAATATGCTTGCAGTTTAATAGTTGCTTTTAAGAACATTATCCAAACAGAAAGGCACACACAGGATGGGTGTTGCACCCATGCCAAGCAGGGCACAGTGTGGTTGGGCTGGAGATCTCTCCTAGCACTCCTTTCATGAGGGTCAGCATTAGCTGTGCTCTCACGTGTTAAATCAAGTGTACTTTTGGGCACTGTGGTGACAGCAGGGTGTGGGAGTGCTGGGAGTGCTGATTTTGGTGTGGAACCTGGGTTTGGAGATGCTGGACGTGGAATGGAGCCACGTGTTCGGTCACTGATGGTCTCAGCAGGACACCATGGTAGAAATCCACCCAGGCTGGCAGGCAGGGATAAAATGCAGCTAAGGCTCACTTTTGGTGCACTCACCATCCTTGCCTCTGTCAGCTGGCACTAATGAATCATAACAACAGGTCTTCATTATGATGATAGAAATACATTTTTCTTTATTTTTCCATGGGAGTATTTCTTAACCACATTTCTATCAAAGTACCATCATGGTTCAGGAAGTATTACTCATTTAATTTTCCCAGTTTCTCTCTAAGTTGTATATAACAGGGACAGATACAGGATGAATTCTTCCATCCTTTTTTACCAAGTTTCAGCATATTCCTGGTTGAAAATACTTGGCAGCATCTTTCTTCAAACTTTGTGGTCTGTCCCAAATAAAATGAAATGGAATCACTTGAGCTGTATTAATGGATTTGGGATCATATCCAGGGGTTGCTAGGGCATCTTTTCATTAGCTCTGGAAAAAATTATCTTCTAATTATAGACTGGCACTAAATACTGATATACAAAATGTGCCATTTGGGACCCAGTTAAAAAAAATGTCACTTGTAGGCTCACCCTGGACAGCGCAGAAGTGCATGAAAATAAAGCTATGGCTTTAGCAGACAAAAGTGTAAGGGCTGTACACACACAACTGCAATGACAGCTGTGCAGACAGAGCCTGGGGACAGAGGACAGCCCCACTGCACCTTGGAGCTTTCCCCAGTACACACACCCCTTGTTAGAGAGCCCCCAGCACTTCGGTGTCCTGCTGCCTGTTAAAAATAGCACACACTTCTTTCCAGTTAGGAAGGTGAAGTTTTAAATACTTGGAACTTGTTTGAAAACAAGAAGCAGTGCAAGGTTGAGCTACTGTGGTGCATCTGTCATCCCAAACGTGTTTTGGGTGGCTCTCAGAGCCTGCCGCAGTCGCTGCCCATCCCTGGCTGTGCTGTGGCTGATGAACCTTCCCTTGGAGCTCAGTGCAGTTCTGTGTGTGTGTGGCCCTGCTGGGAAGCGGCTTCAGTCTACAAAATAAAATCACAGGATAGTTATTTTCTATTTAGCACTGGAATTACTGGCCTGACAGACCCCTTGCCACTGAGGAGCAAGGGTTTTGAAGAGCAAGAGAAGACACTGCCCTGGCACTTGTAAATACAACCCGTTGCCTTCACTGCAGTGCATGTAGCAGGGGGCAAAGGCTGGGTGGGAATACTGCCCGCTCAGTGGAGGAGTTTGTCCAGTGGAATTGTCTCAGCCCTCCTCTCTCCTCAACACCTCCTGCATGTGACAGGCCAGTGATACCAAAGCCTGACTCACAGAGGGATTGTAAAGGCTGTGGGATTCCTTCCTTCATGTAAATCATGCTCAAACAAATGTTACGTTGTTTCTGGTTCACATAATTCAGAGCAAAAGTCATCAGGAGGCAAAACTGTACAGTGCTGCTGCTGCTGAATTAAATTATATTTCATTTTTAAATTGGACTGTTAATGGATGTATCCCATCCTTCATCCTGTTGCTGCCTTCTCCAGCCACCAAGAGAGTGCAGAGTACTCTGAAAATTTGGAGCTGCTTTAGGTAAGTCAGGCTGGTCCCTGGATGTGAGGGACAGATGGAGTCAGCTTGCTCCAGCATGCTCTGCTCTGGGAAATGGGAGTGACGTGGAGCTCACCTGCATAAGGGGTACCTGGAAACACCAGCTTGTCACCTCCCCCGTGTCCCCTTGGCACAACTTGCAGAGGTGGGATTGCCTTCCCGGGCCCCCTGCCAGTGCTCTCCAGTATGTGACTGCTCAGCCCACCAGAGCTCCTGCTCAGCTTCTGTTCCACAATGGAAAAAATGATGTTAGAGTGAACAAAATCTGGCTTTGGACAGTGATTTTGTGCAGTGTCAAGGAGTCATGGCCTCTTCAATACCAAGCCCATGTGTCATCATGGCTGTCCTGTGTAGTCAGGAGAAGTTCCTGCCTGATGATTTATTTGGTGACGTAGGAAGGGATCTTTGTCATTGTACCCATTGTATCAAGCACTGAATGTTTACATCCATACTGACATGGCACGGAAAACTACCAAGCCCTCTGAGTGAACAGTTTTAATCTAGGAAACCCTGAAAGTAGATGGTTGCAGTTCTGTGAAAAATTTGCAGAATTGATACTTTGGTAACTTGAAGTGCTTATCTTTGTGTTTGTCTGTTTAAAAACTGCATGTGGTGAGGTTGAGAAAAAAAGTATTCAGTGAAATTTGTGAAATTCCTATGAGAAGTTTTAATTACTGAGAAACTATAGAGCATTGTGCACTTCCTTTAAGCCATATTGATCCCCCCACTGCACAGAGATGCTTAATCTAATGGAGTTGTGAATTGGAGTTTATTTAGATTCTTCACATATTTTTTGTGACCTCTGTGATTTAAGGTCAGAGACCTCAGCAGGGAA